TACAGCCTAATTTATATGTTTTGTTGGATATATACATTGATGAGTCTCAAATACAAAGGTATTTGTTTGCTTTCCCCTCATTAAGGCGGGAATGCTAACTGATACGTACTTAATCTCGTTCTCGTTCTGGGCCAGGTGTTGAACACTGGATAATAGATTTATATGATAAATCCAGTTATTTGAAAGACGCTTAACTGCGATTTGATACATAATCGCCACGTGCATTGTTTGTAGACAACGGATCCGCGATATTTAATTCAGTATTATATTTACTTATAGACATAGGGAATTAATTTTTGAAACTAGAAGCTTTATTGTTGATCACGAAATCTTGAAACCTGATAAATGAACAAACAAACAAACTAAATAACTAAATAACTAAATAAATAGATAAATAAATAAATAAATAAATAAATAAATAAATAAATAAATAAATAAATAAATAAATAAATAAATAAATAAATAAATAAATAAATACAGTTTATTTAGCTAATCAAAACAAATTCGAAATCAATACATTAAACCCAGGAAATGAACCTATTACACAGCAATATGGATATGCTGACTAAGCAGATATTGGTCCTTCAACCTAATAGCCACATATCTATAAAAGTGTAAAGGCAACGTACACAAAAACCTCTTTCACATGTACTTCTGATTCTTGACGCGGACACTTTCTATAGGGTGAGGGTGGAGCCAAGTACGCATTTCGCTGAACATTCGGGTACCCCAAAATTGTGTTGTGAAAAAGAGAATGGTATACGTCTTCCTCTCAGAGAAAACTAAATGCGACAATGAGGGAAGAAATATCTGTCTCTAATAAAACACTAAAAATACCAACTGTCCGCATCTCAGAATATACATACAGCGGTTGGTCGAGTAACACGTGTTTACAAAAGTAGCCACAAAAGTACACAATATCAACAGTGTACAACGCAATGCCAAGGAATAACATGTCTCAATTATCCGCAGAAGATAGTTCGTAAAAGGCAAAACAGGGATGAAAAATATTTGAATGGGTCAGTGATGATACCAGATGTTCACGAAAAGAATAAAGCATGTCCTCCAGCCAATCACTGATTAGTTGAAATATGTTTATTTTCAACTCTATCCAAAAGGTATAATTATTGCTGAACATGCCTGCTTATCTGATATATATATACTGCTCCATGTAATGTAAAATTTGGCAGATTTGAGTGGACATCAAAACCTTAGAATCAAGAAACAATGGAATTTATACAGTAAGAATATCATATATTTACTTCGACACCTACTGGACCAGACGTTAAGGAACCTATATGGTCCAACTGTAGAGAATGCTTGAAGTGATCACTTCAATGTACATGTCTATTGATAGCCTGTGAGATAGACACATGCTTGTCACGTGGTGCTGATGTGTGTTCGTAATCTCTGCAACACCGCCATTGACTACAACCACCGCCATCAGCACTGACATACTGACATCATACACTTCACCTTCACCTTCATAACGAACAAGGAACAAGAGTATCAAATGTTCCCTCCAAAGATTAATTGCTGTCATTTGAACCATGTTTTATGTCACTGATTGATCAGGGAAACACACTGTTCGTCCACAGACAAACAGGAATCGCTAGTATGTTATTAAGTCCGCAGTTTGGGCAGTGAAAGTGACTCCTGTGTGACTGATGGTCTCGATGACATATGAGTATACCTCGCATCCACGTCACTGACGACGGTAGAAAGTCTCTTGTTGAACATACATTGCGTTTTAATTAATGTGACCTATCCAGTTCGACACTGTCTCTCACGGTAAACATTATTCTTTATAGATTCTAATGCATGAAAATATGATTCAACAGATAGCATATATGAAGAATATTTTAATGGCTTAAACGTGGAATGTTTTCAGCGCCCGTCTGTATCTTGACCTTGACCTTGACCTCCATCGGTGGGGCAGGGCATGCTAACCTGTTTCGAGAATAACTGGTGTCACTGTAACGTAGCAATATGAATTGTTTTGATGTATATTGGACTTCCATTATTCAGTGTATTATATGATAATTTACTTTGATATGAACACTTGACACCCTCCCTACACCGTACCATTAAGAAGTCTCCATCTATCTTATCAGTGAGTTCTCACAGAATTTCTCTCGCTCATGAGAGTCGATGATTGGATGGCTTTTTAAAATAATATATGTTACTCTGGATTTATTGAGAATGAATTGGAACGTATTATTCGTGAGTTGAGGTGGGGCGATTTTGGATTTAGAGACGTGTTGTTCATGGACATATAAGAATTAAATCCTACAAAACACCGAATCTGGGCATATGTGTTAGACGGTCTGTGATACTCATGTTACTGGTAGTAGAAGCACGAGTACTTCACACCTCATTAAGGTACTGACCACATGTTTATATCTAAACGTGTTAACGATTATGTGTATAGTCCTCCAGGCGTGTGTGAAAGACCTAAACATGTCATGACCAAGGGAAGTGTTCCGGTTTGTGTTTAAGAGCTAAAGACATTTAACAAAGTACTGCAATGGACATCTTTCGATCATTGCAAGACGGTGTAGCTTCTCCAACGGATCCGATCCATTGGACCACATATAACATTAACAATTGGAATTCTCAGTCCATCCCATTCTCATCCCATTTCACGTTTTAGCTGTAGTGGTCCACTGTAATCCCCTTTTCGGCACTGGCATCCCATTTTCAGCTCTAGCATCCCACTCACATCCTTTTGTCTCCTCTAGGATGACCAGAGGAGTTCCTCATGCCATGTATTTATGACATATTGTTCATAATATCGTTCCGGTTGATAATGTTAGCATATCATTTTCGAATGTGGCGATTGATTCAACATTGTATTTTATGGTATTGTCAGGAGGCAATCTCTTCCTATAATTCGTAATGTAAATATTTACACTGAAAGGGTTTCATTGTGGCAATGTTTTTTCTTATTGACGCTGAGGAAATACTGATGATATATGGGTCTCACTGTCCAGATCCGCCATTGTAATTGATATTATGGCCATAATATATATGTATATATTCAACTATTTACACAACAATAATTCATGTTCATATTTCATACATGGCTATTGTGGGTGTCGCCATAATGCTTACCTATAGTATGAATCTTCACTGTGACAAGTCTAAGGTATACATTTGTCTCCGTGTATGTGTGTCAGTATGGAAATGGCAATGGATGTACGTTTAGTTACACACATCCGCCGTGTGTGTGTGTGTCAGTATGGATGGCAATGTACGGTTAGTTACACACATCCGCCGTGTGTGTGTGTCAGCATGGATGGCAATGTACGGTCAGTTACACACATCCGCCGTGTGTGTGTGTCAGTATGGATGGCAATGTACGGTCAGTTACACACATCCGCCGTGTGTGTGTGTCAGCATGGATGGCAATGTACGGTCAGTTACACACATCCGCCGTGTGTGTGTGTCAGCATGGATGGCAATGTACGGTCAGTTACACACATCCGCCGTGTGTGTGTGCCCTTGTGATAATAGTTTATATTAGGCAAAGTCCTCATCCGCTGTCGTTAGTAACAAGAAGCACGGAAAAGAACAGCTTTTAAAACAACATTCAACTGTACATGATGACTCCACCAAGCGGTCTGTAACACAGCAGCTGGTGACACACAGTTGGGCCCATGTATATGGTGAGCCTGCTTCACAGCAACAGCTATTACAGCCGTCCTAGCCTAAAACACTAACGTGTGCTGTTGAAATGTTAGTATACAGTTGAAAAACATCTTACAACAAGCCAGAAGAAGTTTAGGGTAATTATCACTCCAGGTAGCTCATAATCATGTCATGTTGTTAAACGACTCTCAAAAACATACCCTAACAACAATACAAACATTTTAATTACACAGCTCAAGTACACATGAAAGAGAGGTACGACAGCCATGGCACTTCGCGATTAGTACAAGGGGAGGGGTTCGCCCTTAGGTAGCGTCCTGCCCACGAACATTACAACCGAGGTGTTCTTTGCCTAGACCGTCACGTCCGCCATGTCACTTTCGTCACGTAAAAAGGTTTTTGAGGGCTACCATCCCATTACCCTATACACCTGTGTCAGAATGTGGTCAGATAGGGTCAGAACGTGCTTGACCACGAGTTTACATGGTATAGAAATGCCGTTGGCTTTCCACATTCTGCTATTGTGTCCGGTTGGCCGGGTGGATCAAGTGGCCTACTTTGCTTCAAGTCATATTTGTTGACGTTGATAAAGCGGATTAACACACGTGTTTGTTGACCATCCTTTACCCGGAACTACTTTCTGTCATAATGTTCTATTTGGCAATTAATGCTCCTTTAAACAAAGTAGGGTGGGGATCTTATAAGGGTTTCCAGTTTCCGGTGTGATATTGCCAGAATATAAGGTACCTGCAAAGGTTCACACACAAATACAGAGATAATACACACATACACACGCACACACACACACTCACAAACTTCTAGGTCTTACAGAGGTTGTGTCTGCATCCAAGGGTTTCATAACAAAAAATCTTTTTCTGTATTGTTTAAGATTTCACTTTTTTATTAGTAACATTTGGGCGTATATTCGGGTGCAAATGTCTTTTTAAATACAATATTTCTATATACATAGGCGCATTCCCCTCCATCAAGCTATGATAATGGACAAGACATAATGATATATATAAAATATGAGTGTATCATTTTGGCGAGACTAATGTGATATTATCTTCATTGTGGAACAAAGACCGATCCATGACGTAGATCCACGACCTAGAGGTACGTTCACACACAGTGGACCCTCGTGTTTCCTATCTAGCATGGAACTGAAGACCTGTTCTCCCCTTAATACAACAGCAAGCCTGAGAAGTAAGGCCAATGTAGAAATGTTAACGGGTGGTTATTTACACTGCATCTCACTCACTGGCTTCCATAACAAAGATCAACAAATGACATCTTTTCAAATAAATAATAAAGCAAACACAAATAAACTACATTGTACTTCAAAATAGTTTACTTTCTGATATACATGTTACATAGCACCAACATTACACAGTATGACAGCCTCAACTATCAACCACGAGATTCAGTGCAGATATTTGCTACACCAAGAAGTACAAAACAGTGATAGAATACACGTACGTGTTGAGGAACGTTAGCTGAGTGCTTACTCTCACCAGTGCTCACAGTCTAGTAAAGAACTATTTCATGAGCAAAGACAAATGCTAACTTAAAGCTTGATTGCTTGACAAGAGTATCGATTCTCATCAACATTGGCATGTAGAGACGCACAATGATGCATAGCCGGAACTATAATGGTTCTACAAACCTCATGTACATGCGATGACATCAAGGTCACATACACAACATACTTGTTTAATACTTGTTTCTATACGTCGAAGTTGATACGTGCTTACAGGCAGGTGTATGTCTAAGTTTGATGTAGATATTTATTTATCATTTAACTTGAAATTTATGGTTCTTTTGGTGACTAAACCAGTCCTGGTAAAGTGGAAAGTCTTTAAGTAATTCAGTTACTTAATAAGACCACACGGAAGGGTTGTGTAGGCAAACGGTTTAAGGATTCACTGGTCACGCAAGAGACTCTGGTTTATTTCAAACACGGGTACAATGTCTGACTCCCATTATGGTGTCCTGATATTGCTGTCATATTGCTATATGCGACGTAAAATACAACCCACTTGCTCAAGAAAGGGAATAGATCGTAAAGCATGAACACATTGCATGTACACATCGCTAAACTATACCAGATCTGTTACTTGACACACTGTGAATCATTCACGTAATAAATATATCATCATAGGGCCATAGTGGGTGTACATAAATATGTTTTGGAATAATTATCACCCTTTACTTTGATATGACGTACAAGTTCCGTAACTTTCTGGGGCCATCTGACCTCTAGGGTAGCCACTGTTTATACTGTTTGCTTGTAACGCCGGAGGTCAGGGTTCAATTACCAATATTTGCCATGATTGGTATCTGCAGGAGTGATCCTTCTGAAATATGACTGAAACTGTCTACTTTGTCAAACCTACTCAGAGACGCATGCATATTTGTCTTCAAACATTACATGATGGCAGGGAAATAATGTTGAAACAGCCCCAACATCATGTGGTATAACATTCTTAATGGCACATGCCTATGAAATTGAATGGTACAGATAACATCTTGTGAAATGACAAGATTGAGCAATTTTTTATCATTTCACTTATCTTGATAGGTTCATCTTTAACACACAACATACGTCTATAATAAGATTACAATCAATAAACAACACAACATTTTCTCATTCACACAACAACTGAGCCTCATTCGACCTTGCTAAAATTGCTAGTTAGCATAGTTCGTAAAAATGAGTCTGGGCGGATATACGAGAGATCACCGCAAGCACTGCTTACGTCACCACTTTGAGTGCACCGATTCGTCAACATTAATGTGCACAAGTTGTTAAGTAGTCATCACTCTTGTGCACAAGTCACTGACTCGGTCGTGTAAGGTCATTTGAGTTCGACACGTTATTTTGAAAATTATTTTTATTTTCGTTTGTGGCATTTTTTTTGTCCGTTTTTGGCGTTCCATCCTTATTGATGGCTTGAAGCATTCTAGCACTATGTTCTTGCGCCTTCGCCCGCAGAGCTGCTATACTTTCAGACTTGAGTTCATCCTTGTCCTTTGGTTTTCCGTCACTGCTGTCCATCGTTGTGTCGTCTTCCGCTTCCTTCATCTTCTGGGCAGCTTCCAGAGACTTCTTGTGCATGCCTGCAAGAAGGAAACGTCAAATAAACATCAAAGTCTTTGGGGTATTCATATCCGTGCACCTCACACATGAAACGATTGAACAAACTGGAAGGGACAAATTCAAGCTGACCTGCATTCACGTCATTGTGAATTACAATGATGGTACCGGGTGTCCGGGAAATGGCCATTGTTATGAATAAATCTTTATGATTGTGTATTCTTAAACAATTGTAAACGAATACGTCAGTATTACCCCAGCTATACGAAAGCGGCATAACTACCAGACAATCCAGTGACTACTCTGTGAATGGTCAAACCCGTCTTGCCAAAGGTGATAATTTTCATATGTGCACTTTATTTTATAGGGCGGTTTACCGCATTAGTACCGAACGAGACTGAACGAACAAATAAAAATAGTTTCTTGGACAAACCCGCGTGGGCACGTGTAAAGTTGACAGTTTTCTACTGATGAGTACATATGATATTTTCCATTTAAGTAATGACAAATATAGCCATCGGTAACAAATTTAGATTCCTTAATTATATCATATGTGTAGGTTTAACGGCCAGTTATCTCCGTCAGAGACAGATCTGCAAAAATCGTGAGATTGTTATGAGGATTTGTAACAATTATCTCGAACACCTTATCGGAATCTCAATCCTATTTACCAAATGCAGAATCAAAGGATGTTGCAACCGGATGTGCATTCAGATTTCATACGGTTAAATCCTGTCCTTTCAAAGAGAAGAACATCCTTAAGATTGATAACATATTTATATAACATGTCAATTTCATATGATAATAATCGATTATCATAGTTGGTGTATGTGGCAAAGTAGCGATGAGTAGGTGGCTAAAAGAGTAGGCATCGCCTCCCCTGGTGGTTGCACCATCACTTACACAATTTAAATAAACCGTAATGACTATTAGTTGTATATTGTTAGAAGCCGCAAAGCAAACAGCTGCTATATGGCGGTGGCCTATAGTGAGTGAGTGAGTGAGTTAAGTTTTACGCCGCACTCAGCAATATTCCAGCTATATGGCGGCGGTCTGTAAATAATCGAGTCTGGACCAGACAATCCAGTGATCAACAGCATGAGCATCGATCTGCGCAATTGGGAACCGATGGCATGTGTCAACCAAGTCAGCGAAACTGACCACCCGATCCCGTTAGTCGCCTCTTACGACAAGATAGTCGCCTTTTTTATGGCAAGCACATGGGTTGCTGAAGACCTATTCTACCCCGGATCTTCACGGGTCCGGTGGCCTATAGACTATCAAGACAATCAGTGTCCAGACACTCTGGTTCTGACTCGAAAAATTGGTTTTGCAACAAAGGATGGCAGGCTAATGTCTCGGGCCACACTTTTCCTCTACTGTTCTGGCGCCCTTTTTGTATTCGTGTAGACGTGGTTACAGTAATAGTCCAGAATAACGGGGTCCAGATTAGAGATCATTAAAGTTACAGTCAGGTCAACGCTGCCGCTTCACCATGGTGGGTGTGTACTCACCAAGAAGCCAAGGGGCACACGATTTATCAATCCCGTCCTCTGCTGAATCAACAATGGATTCCGGAAGCGGAAGTGCATGTCGGACCATAGCTCCGTACAGCCCGTACTCCGCCATGATGCTGCTTTTGCCCCACGTCTTCTCCGTTTTGCGCCACTTAGCCCGTCGATTTTGAAACCATACCTGAAAAGGATTTCTGAAGATATAATATCTGACCGTAAAATTGTATTCTAAAATGCCATCTTGGCTGCATGGAACTGTGACTAAGTTCCGCGAGTCGATGCCAAGTTACATGTCCAAATCAGAGGCCATATAATATGGTCTCTGTCCAAATGTAGGCTAAGGGTCTAAAGTCATGTGTGAAGCTGAGACGCTGAATCTGTATGTTAATTGGGTGGTCATTTGTTTTTACATTCATGAAGCATGATAAATATTTTCTTGACTGAACGCACCGCTTAATGACTGACTGACTAACTAAACGCCGAACTGTTGGACTGACCTAACTGAACGATTTGACGTTAAACTATTCATCGATTGGGATAAGATTGCCCATAGTTCCCATCGTCCATTCATCCCAAAATATCAAAGAGTTGCAGAAAACATAATTTTAGACATCTTAAAATTGAAAGTGTCAATTCTACCAGGGATTCTTTAACCCAGTGATTGAAATCATGAGCATTGATCTATACAAACAGGATACCATGACATATGTCAACCGAGTCGAGCAATTGGCGACAAGCATGACTTGCTGAAGATCAGCTCCAACCAGGATCTTTACGGGTATTATAATAGCAACAACATCAACAACAACAACAGCAGCAGCAGCAGTAGTAATAGGAGTTGTAGTTAGAGCAGCAGTAGTATGAGGTCAGAACAGGCCGCGTTGTTTGGATCAAATTAGAAATTCGATCATGTTATTCTAATTCATTGTAGCGTCATATACATTTTGCAATAATTTTTCAAGCAGACAAACCGTATACCATCAACACATGACAACAGCACTCTCCTACAGGTACAATCGCCATGCTCATCTACAGCTTGTATTGAGTTTCCTTCCTTGTGTGTTTCCGTATTAGTCGACAACGTTAGTGCAAATAATCTTGTAATCAATGTCAATGGTCGAGGATTATCTCTAATTAGGAACCTAAACTATTACATTAGCCAAGAAAATGCCATTAAATCTGAAGACCAACCGCTATCCTAGCGGCGTCGACACGGTACAGACTAGCGGCGATGCTGGTGCCGGGTGTAAAATTTCAAATTAATATGGTTGTGACGAGAGTAAAATCAATATGCCAACATGGCCGCCGAGAATTGGGCGAGATATCGTCATTGGATGCTCTAGCTGATGAACAAAGACATTGTCGTGATTTAATTAGGATAAGCGATGGCCACATATCTAATTTAGAAAATTACCTCGGTATTGGTGGCGGTTCGGGCAATCTCTCTACCAGTAATAGGGTCTAAAGGCCGAGGTTGGACGCTTCGGTGGTCCCGCTTGATCGGGATAATTGTTCCTAACGGGTTACAAGGTCAGACGTTTGCCGTAATGTTTCGCTAGCGCGGTCGAGTCAATGGGAGAAAAGTTTTATCAAAGCCAGCTGACTGAATCATGCGATTATCATTTGTGACGGAATACGCCATAATTGCAATTTGAGGATAATGTTTAACACTATAGACGCTTGACGATAGAGCATTAGCACAGGAGGGGCGCTAGACTTGATAAGTTTATTACGAAAGGCCCCCTTGCTTTGACAGGGTTAAGTGTGTGTAACCTGACCGCCTTGTAAGCATACTAACACTATAATAGAAGAGAACGCTGTGTGGTAGTAGGCCTATAGTGAACCGTTATGTAGCCAAGTTAAGGAACAAAGAAACGGCACCTCGATATTAACAATAACGCCCTAATATCAACATGATCATTGACTCGGGTGTACATTTTTAACACTTCAGTTTATAATTACATAAAAAGATCACTCAACAAGTGCATTCAAACAATAAGATAAATGGAAGGTTTAGATTTGGTACATCAATATATAATGCATGTAATATACATATTACTCACTCCCATGTCAGACATATACTCATGCCAATAATGGTTGTCACCCCCTTCAATTTTTTTAATTGGAGAGGGGATGTGGGTGGGGTGTGAGGTGTGTGGGGGTTGGGGTGGGGAAGGGGTGACAACCATTATTGGCATGAGTATATTACAAAAAACGGATTTGTAGCACTTTCTTAAATTTCTGACATCTAATTCTTATGATTCGAAGGAACTTTGCTGGGGACAGCACCCAGTGTGTTTAAGAAAAAGATAATTCATTCACGAATGAAAAGTGTTTCAATTTCTCTGAAAACTGTGCTGAATATATCTGCACTTTAGGTTCATTGACTGACACAGGGCTATTGAGGCGGACTGACTGACACTGGTCTTACGTGTCAGACTTCAAACGAACAAACCATTTCGGTTAAAGGGACATGTAATATTTTCCGACAACATAACTTCCATGTCGATGGGTTTATGTTCCTTAATGAAAGTAAATGGCTCGTGTTGTCTGTGTCGGAAAATGTTGCTATTCTTAGGTACCATGTTTATCCAAAGTGATGTGTCTGTTAGCAGTACATGTATTAATAATTTCAGTTATATGATAAATAAAACGAATATCGTACCGTCAATCTTGATTACGACACATCAGTAACTAATACTTACATGCAAACACTTATATCAACAAAAACTTTTGGTTGTTTACGAGCAGGAATAGACACATTTCTTTCTGAAAATACTTTTTTATATACAAGAGACACGCTCAGATTGCAATGGATGTAAAGTCGTATAATTTGATTATGTTAAATATTATTGAAATACTATAACTTTGTTCCGTTATACAAAAATGGCCTGTATGATCGAATATAACATAGGCGCCAACTGCAGCAGACAATCGCTTTACTCAAATATTAAAGGTGATATGATGTAACAAATCGTTCTTTGCAGTTACTTTGGAACAACATATATAATATTCCGACTTACATTATTAACGTACTTAGAAATGGACAGTGTAGGTCTATCAGTATTACACTATTAGTATGAATCCCTGGTGTTGAGTTGGTTTCATACAAAACATATGCGTGTATTACTATTCTGTACTAAATGGGGTTTAACGTCGTCAATAATTATACATAACATATATAGGATATTGCGACGTGCATGCATGTGTGTGTGTGCGTATGTGCTTACGAGTCCGACCAATGCCGGTTTTGTCGTGCCAGCTCACTGAAATACAAATATGATATACCCCACAAAGGACACCTACTGACAGCGAGCCGACTAATTCTTGTTTTATCCCTTTATGCTAAACATCAGTCAGAGTGACAACAAGTACCCTAGTTTATCGTCTTTACGTCTGAAGGATCGAACTTCAGACCTACAGTCTCCGGGCAGACGCTCTATCCACTCGACCACGGTGGCCGTCTTCCATCTATTACCAACCTTTATATGAATTCTCATGATGTTACATGAACGCTGATGCGTCAAATAGTATGGTGTTGAATTGATGAAATAAACACACGTCATCTCTTATATCACTTATCGTTTTACTGAATACACGTTAATGATCTAATGTCGACTATACGTCTTTCTGTAGAACCCGACATCCCATATGTGTGCAGTGGTTGATGTTTAATCAAAAGGAAATATTGTTGAATATTTACGGGATGTGATTTAAAACTATAGATGTAGTATATTGCCTTACGTACCAAATGTAACATAGTGCATGCTGTTGTATGTAGATAATGCATTACATAGTAGCTATAATATAGTTAGTGCTTGTTGTAGTACGTAGTTAATGCATTATATAGTCACTTTAAGATAGTTAGTGCATGTAGTGATATGTTATTATAATATAGTTATGCATAGTGATATGTAATACATAGTACCTATAATATAGTTAGTGCTTGTTGTAGTACGTAGTTAATGCATTACATAGCAACTATAATATAGTTTAGTACATGTAGTTAATGCATTACATAGCAACTATAATATAGTTTAGTACATGTAGTTAATGCATTACATAGTAACTATAATATAGTTTAGTACATGTAGTTAATGCATTACATAGCAACTATAATATAGTTTAGTACATGTAGTTAATGCATTACATAGCAACTATAATATAGTTTAGTACATGTAGTTAATGCATTACATAGCAACTATAATATAGTTTAGTACATGTAACATGTAGTTAATGCATTACATAGTAACTATAATATAGTTTAGTACATGTAACATGTAATTTATGTAATACATAGTAGATATAATATAGTTAGTGCATGTAACATATGTAGTTAATGCATTACATAGTAACTATAATATAGTTTAGTACATGTAACATGTAGTTAATGCATTACATAGTGACTATATTAAAATTAGTGTAAGTTTTTAGTGCGTATTTAATGCATTTCATAGTAACTATAATATAGTTAGTGCATGTACTATTCCATAGTAACTATAATAAAATTAGTGCAAGTTGTAGTATGTAGTTCATGCATGATTTAATATCTAACAGTTGTGTGAATTGGTTCCGTGATGGGAAAGATGCTGGACCAAGCCCTAGGAAGCTGTGTTTCGAATGACTTGAACAATAACAGTTGTGAAAACATGTGTCGTTTTCGTATATCAAATTATGAGTGTTTTATAAACTCGGTGCCCCCCGACATTCCAGCCCACTTAGAACCCAATAAAAAGCCAATAAAATCAACCCCGACTGAGAACCATCTTTCCTAACATCTCTAGCAAAACGCTCCTCCAAATTGGCTGTTATGTGCAAGAAAAATATATTCAGTGGCACAAAAAACAAAGTCCCTTAGCATCGCGCCCCCCTTTGCCTTGAGAGAGAGCGGCAACATTTTGAGAGAAAACAGAGGAAAACACGTGCTTCGGATAACTACTGGGGATTCGGAATCTTGACTGGGATAGGATTAATGTTATAAAAGAAATCTTTGATGTGTGTAGCCCGTGCAAGACGTTCCGTGCTGACCAGGCGAGCCCCACGCGGGTTCGTTTATTTTGATATGGCAAATAAAGCGATTAGCTGATGTGCTTTCTAGACGCTTAAACGTCTAGTGTGTCGACTAGACGGGATCCAGTTGGTGGATTGAGATTTAAGGCACACCCGAGAAGATGCCGGTTAGAAATGAACCCGCGCCTCTTCTTCCCGCCATCTTTTACACCTCTCGTTATCGTGTATTAATTTGTTTTGATTTCCCCCGCCTCAGCTTGCTGTTTTTTGTGAGAGCTTTATGGAAAATACTGAGTACGTTATTGTTGATTCCCAACAGGGTATGCTCAATGAGAGAGTGATGATACCGGGGCGTTCATCCCCGTGGTTGGGGGCTTATATTACGAAACTAGCTGGGAATATGTGCTTAAGATGACCGATAAATTCATCTGGAACTGAAATACGCGACACCTAACTCAACACTACAGCAATTAACGTCCATATCCCTATTATCTGATAAATAATGACAGTTATTGTTAATATCCATCCCTAAATGGTTTCTTCCGGAATTCCTTGCATGAGGTATATTCTACCCTGAGAGTCATGGAACCAGTTTGTATGAAGATCGATTCACTTAAAGGGGTAATGTGTCCCCTTTGTGTGTTGCACCATGTAAGGTACATATTTTTGTTATCAGTATCGGTGCTTACCATATGCATAGGAGGAGACACAAAACTATTTGATGTCAGTGGAATGGAACTAATGTCTTCGAGCGAAAGAATCGATCTCTAAAAACGGTACATACTTGAAACACTGCATTGTAATAGAACTGAATTAGGTTCCATTTAATTATGAAGGATTTTATGATACAGTTTGAAACTGGGTTCGTTAAAGATGTATGCTACTGTTATGTCGACTAAAGACAAACGACAAATATGTTTGACTCTGTGGGCTTATTCTTGTTTGTTTTTGAAGGTAAATTACCTCTCGGTAAACTTCATCTATATTGACATGGTTCGTGAAAAATACTCGCCAGGTGGCTCTTCGTGTAACCGGAAGTACATGTCATAAAGGCTGCAGATGTGAGAACGAGGCCTCCTGCAGGGTCAACGAGCCTCAGTAGTATTACACAACATAAATAAACATAGGCAATAAGCTCTCCTAATTTCATAACGGTTTTGTCCTACTCCTAAATGTCCACACAGGTGCTTACATGTTGTGCCCCGTAGCTCAAATCACAAGAAACTATAGTTGTATTTTCTATATAAAAAACCACCACAAAACACCAATCATCGCTGCACAGCCGACTTTAGACATGTTTGTAAATATTTATTCTTAAATAAGTCGGATATTTTCATGTTTGATAAGAAAACATTCCGTTATAAAAATATATTGCACTAAGGATGCATGCAAATACACTATCAATAATGCCTGACGTCATAATTACGTCACAATTCGTGCCAGCGATGCCCCCACACCTGTGATTGACATGTATGTTAATAGCACTATCTTAATTCCACGTAGACAATTCTGCCAATATCCACCAGCTGTGCTGTGTTTTGATAAGTCACGTGAGTGCGCTACTGCCACGACTACCCCATGGGGATTCCCCGACTTCCAGACAATAGCAAGCAACATGTCCGTAATCGCGTACAACTTAAACATCATATCAAAGCAATTCCAATCATAAACGATTCTGAAATTAATAATCATTATATTATTCTTTTCTATTTCAAATTAGTGTTACATTTAGCAAATTAAAGCATTGGATTGATAATTTTCGGTGGCCCTACACGCAATCATCCTTGTCACATTAATGTTTCAACATTCGAATGTTTCTTTAATAACACTGACAATAGAGGTCGTAGACAGGTTAAACATTTTATCACAATTTGGTTCCAAGCTGAAACAATTAATCAATAAATACTATATTTGCGTGAATTGAATTCCCACGGCGCTTCCATATGTTTGACGAAAATCATTGAAAAACTGAGACTTACCTGTATTCTATCCTCAGGTAGATCTATCTTGAGTGCAAGTAACTCTCGAGCGTACAGGTCGGGGTAGTGAGCGTCTTTGAATGCTTTCTCGAGCTCCTCCAGTTGATAGCTGGTGAATATTGTCCTGAACGAAAACAACGAAGATTTAATTAATATTGAAATATACTCGCAAAGCCGACATATTAAAAAAACACCCAGTGTAGCACTACCAGTAGATTAGACTATAACTTACTTCCTCCTTGGGCCATAATTACACGTAAATAACATTGGCAATAGCCTTAAAATACTATCTGTGAAACTGGAATTTATACCATTATTAAATATGTTAATAACACCAGACATAAGCATTACATTATAATTGTACGCTAAAAATAACTAAAACATTTTACACCAATTCTAGAAATTACATCGACACTAATATTTACTGTATAGCTGCTTTACACATACGGATACAAAATCAGGACATCAAAGTTTTTATCTGATGTAAATGCTCAAGATATATTGCGACTCTTTGGTATTTATCATTTTGTCCAAAGACTGCTCCATCGAAGAAACTATCTGAATGGCAAGTCGCACGTTACGTTCTTGTATGACGTTTCCATAATCCACATAATTGACTGCTAATGGCGGTCTCTACAACAACCATATGTCACCGAACAGGAAACACGTGATCAACACCTAAGGCTTCCTCGGACAAGAGTCAAACAACGCCTTAGCTGACCACACGTGTCACTCGGACACCCTCACGTGCCACAAGGGTGATAATCGCTGCTAACATGCAGCTAATCTCCAAACTTGGGGTTTTATTGTCAATAATTTGTTCTCACAGCGGAAGTTACCTTTGTCACGTGATATGATTCGGCGCAGTGGGGATTCTGACAGTTTGACTTAGTCAATAAACGAATTGTTAACAAAGTCTATAAACACAAACTAGGTGGCTTTAACTGGGATATTTAAGCGTCGAATCTTTCACACAGTTTTAAAACAACATTGTGGCTTGTTTCTAATTGTATACCTGTATGCTTTGTTCTCTTTAGACAATTATCGTTTTTTCGGACATGACAATAATTCGTAAAATTATTGAGGATTTGTCTTTTCAAGGTTTTCATTTGATTTCATATAGCAACTCAACCAAGCTAGAAATGAATTGTTAGGTTTTGAAGCTTTAGGTTCTCACTTAGTCTGTCTCACAGTCCCTGAACCACATTAATTTCCCTACTGCCAAGCCTCTCTGCAGTGCTAAAGCCCTAAATAAAGCAAGTCTAGATTTCCCCAGGTTCTGAATCTCTGGTCTCCCTGGGGCTCCTTTTCAATATAAATGGGCTTGTTTGTTACTATCAAAATTATATATATTCAGAGACTAAGCCTTAGTCTACTTCTCACTGAGCGCTCACATTTCACACACAAAACCTAAATTTGATCAAAACCTTACTCATTAGTACAAGCATAGTTTCATAACTGCAACGTAAGTCAGTTTAACTTGTATATACAAATACTAAGTCATATTTGTTTGCCTAGTGCTGACACAAATATATCTAATACCACGAGTTCCGGAATAAACATCTCAAAGTAAATCTGTACAGAATTTCTTTTACATTACATTGCAGATTAGGGTTATGCATTTCTTGCCAACAGTTCCAAGGTACCAAATCCATTTCCCAGATCATTTACAAAGAGGACACAAAATATGCATATGGAACAAAAGGCCTAAAACAAAATCTTTTCAAGAATATCATGTTTTCATTAAAATTTCTTTCCGGTAACGCCTGCCAACCCTGTGCAGTGCTTCCTAGTTAACAGAGGTCGCCCGTGTGACCTTACGCTTACGTCACTCGCCCCCCAGCAAAGACGCCTTGCTCAGTGTGGAAATACACTATTTTTTCCTGTCCAATAGCGAGTATATGTCAATTACAGAAGCAAGGCTAAGTGCACGGAGGCCTTGGAAACCCAGCGGTAAATTCGGCTAATTTGAACGTCAGATACTGCCGGAGACATCTTTGATCATTCTGGCATGCTGCCAACGTCGAAGTCGGCGTAGGGCCGACTATACACTCGCGGGCGTAGGGAGCCGAGTCGGTCGTCGAAGAACAACTAATTAGGGAGCGCCCGGTCAAACGAGCGGAACTTGATATCATTAATTAAAGTTTGGACAATAAGGACTTCCAGTAATCACAAGTCAAAAAGACTAATTGTCTTCCATGAAACGTCCGTGATCGCTAATATTTGTCTTTTAATTTGACGGGAAATCGATCCCCTCCCCGGAAACTGTTTATTTCCTAAGAAACGTTGATGAAGCATAAAGACGTTTTGGGGTGTACATTATCCTATTAGCGAGGACATCTCCACTGGGGCCGGTGACAGTGACAGATACAACGTCGTTGCAATTAGTGACGTCACGTCATCGGTCACGTGTCTTCATTGCCTGCGACGTCACGTGACGTCGTTGTCAGACAAGATGGCGTGCGAGATAAGAAATCAGTGTGAGGAGACATAGGTCAAATTATCTCATTTGTTATAAGATTATTGGTTGACAGTTGTGAGTGACAGGGGATTTTAATTAACTTGTAATTGGTTGTTTAAGCGAATTAATGTGATGGGGGATCAGAGGCTTTTTCACAAACATATTGCACTGGGTATCGTTTTTGGAAATAATGGAATAGCGTTTCAACGATATGGAATATCAGCTCTAGGTTCTTTTCAAGGTTATCAGTTGGATAGATTCAAGCAGCTTAACAGAAAACGTCAACTTCGCACATCGACGGAGCGGCGTCAGTTAATTCATTAAGAAACATGCATCGATTATTAACTGGCAAACTCTTTTTGTTCTGTCAAGGATAGAGATGGATCTTGTCTTATGTCACAGAAGTGGTGCAGATGATCAAGGTTGGTCTGTAAGTAATAGTCTGGGTTAAACGAGGGGTTGAAGGCATGAACACTAGACCAATCTTTGGGCGAGCAATACGTTCGTAGCAGGATGACATGGAAATAATTTCTGTTGAACGTTTTCCCCTCTACGCGTACCAAATATTAAACTTTCAAACAACATTGTTATCTTTTCATTAAAACCATTTCTAAAATTCGTAACATTATCTATTTCGAGTTTTTAAAATTTTTGAATGCCTTCAGACTTATCACCATATCATATAAAGACATGCTATCTATTTTCCTATTTCGATATATGCTCTCTTGTGTCCATGTATTCATTTGTATATATGCCGTGTTGAGTCTCACAAGCTATATGGTCTGACAGTGTATAATTCTTCAGAATCATTTTTTTTATTGTGTAACAATTTTATACAAACCCTTTCTTCTACTTCTTCTTTTATTTCTTTTGTTCATCTCCGCCCTATTTAACCCTCAATCCAAACCCCTAACCCTGTTCCAAACTGAACCCCTGAACGTAATAAATTTTATTGTATGGTCTCTGCACTCACCTGTGCCTCCGACGTTTCTTTTGTTTTTTGCCACACATGCTGACTTCTTGTGCTTTCTCCTGTTGTACGCATGCCTGACGGGATACTACAAATAAACAAAAATATAAATATTTATTTAGCCCACGTGCCAAGACCAAATTAGACAAATATGTCATGCACCCGCTGTGAAAACTTTACTAGCAGTTGACCCCCTGTGCGCCTGCGTGATAAGGTCATATCCGGGTCATCAAGGTCGATAGCCATTGTTTTTAAATGAGCTGTTCCTCGCAGGCGCTGCACAATCTGGGCGATGCATGGTGTTTAATCTGGTTGAAGATGTATTGAGTACATTGCTGGACTATTGCGCTCAACAGTATTATGGAGCATCCCGATGGCGATAGTCATTTAGGAATAATTGATTGTTTTCAATGACTGTTCATAGGAGGGGGAATGTTCATAGATAAGGTGTCTAAGTTATCATGAGAGTTATTAAATAATTGGTGACTACTGAAAGCTTTTGATTTCTAAGATTGATCGAATCAGAACTTGGTGTAAAGTTTCAATACAACATGTGTATATTGTGTTTGGACTTTAAAACCACTTGATTATCCGTGTTTTAAATACAAGCGTGGAGGTGGTTGGACGAAATATGAATGTTTAGAAATATTTGAATATTTCGGTTTCATGTCGTGTGAAAATAAAGAAATTTGCTGCGGTGAAAGAATTGAAATCAAGTTGTGTTCCGTACAAACCTTACACTCAGTGGAGGAAAATATGTTTATTCGACGTTATTCGTCCACTGTCCTTCAGTGATAGATGCAATTATATATGAAGTCAATTGTTTGGAACCCGTCACGATAACGCTACACAAAGTGACGTAAATCTAACCCCTTGCAATATCATTAGTCTCCAAGAACATCATGGTGATTTGAATGTAGAATTGAAAAATGTGCCATTAGTCATGCTACAACTTCGATCAAGTGTTTGTATGTAGGAAATGATAAGTATCATCCTACTTGAAAGTCATTCAACATGCGTATGAAAACAGGATGCAGAATGACAAAAACAGACTCTGCTATAACAAAAATATGGAAATGGGTCTGTGGCATTAAATTATACTTATTGTTCTTTTAAAACTAACTGGACAATCATGGGAGTAAATAATTCCCTATAATACTGAAACTTTACCATTCACTATTTTTTAATAATTTACTATGCTTGCATTAATTAACTGCCCGGCACAAGAACACAGGCCAATGTTGGTTGGTGGTTAACAATAAAACAAACAGGAAATTGTTAGTCGAAGTATTATTTGGGAAGTATTATCCGGGTAGCATAGTTTTGAACCTGACGTTTGCAGGATTTGGCAACTGTTCTCAGTCTGGTGACATTTTCATAACGTTGGTCATTTTATTGTAACATAATGCATATACTTTCTTTTGACCCACTGTTTATTGTTAAAATATAATCCATGTGCATCTTGTAACACACACTGTTTAACATAATCATCCCATCATTATGCAACACAGCGCAAGTAACGGTACATGTCCACTACACAGTTAAATAACACAGACAATAAAATAACAATTGCACTTTGGATTTAAAAGGGGCGCTTCCTAAATGATTGATTAGTTTTACGCAATTATCAATTAAAAATGCAGACATCCCTAAAACCAATACAACTGCAAAATACAAAAATATCCCTGAATCCAAAAACTTTATCAGCAGTCCTCATTAAAACCAAATCTGAAATCTCAATCCATGTCAAAGGCGTCAGTACAGGTGGCCTAGTACCTGTCTAAATTGACTAACAAAATGTCAGATTGTTCATCAAAGCTCCGTGCCCCCCGGTCGCCCCCCTTGCCCCTCCCACACCCTCCTGTTCCTCGGGAGCTGACTTTCATTGTGACGGATGACATGCCGTCCCTAACGAACACGGTTTTCAACATTCAACGAGGTGTCGGCTCCCCTTTCGTAGTCCTTAAGAAGCTCTTAAAAGCTTTTCAAGGTCTCTAGCAGCTTTCTTAAGAGACCCCGAAGTTTGCTCCCTTAATTACGCTGTTTCATTGTCCATGCATCCGTCGTTGTCAACGCTTTTCTTGTTGTATTAACTGTAGCAGTACCGTGTCCCGTGGAGTTAATTAAGGGCCGCTGCAAACCGTTTGCCACCCCTGAATGTCTTCCGCTTGGGCTACTGTCTTCTTGTACCGCCTGAGAATGGTCTGGTTTGGCTAATGATGGTATCTTAACCCATAATTGGAGTCGTGGGTAGTACAGCATCAGATCTATACACGAATTGGTTTAAATCGCTATGCTTGAACTGAATAGTAAACGATTACAGAGAAGATCTGCTGTAAACGTTTTTCTTTGATTGGTAATGTGTAATGTTCGTTATTGGTTCGGTTTACTTAAAGTGGGGTGTCATTTACTCCAACTGCAAGTGGTTGTATTACAATCACTTGGTTGTATAGGCACACACCCGGAGAGAGGAATCACCCTTTTAACAACTGGAATACATTAAGGTGCCAGTATATTTCATACTTCATTAAGTTTAAAATGCAAAATATTAAATAGATGTGAGCTTATGTAGAATATGTAAATATTATCCTTTATAGTCAGATAATAAATACAAAAATGATTTGTATTTGGACATGGTTTGTTGTGGAAATCATTGGATCAGACACAAGTTGTAAAAGTCAATGGTCTTCTCCAAGATGTTTATGTATTGGTTATTTATCGCCACTTCTCCAATATACACACGTTGTTTGCAATTTTTCAATTGCATGATAGTAAATAAACAAAAACAGAAAATTATTCTTCAAGCTCACAATAAGTCGAATAAACTTGAATAGAACGTTTTAATTACAGTGGCTGAATTCAGGAGAGCACACATTGACATGTGTTTATAAACTACATAGTACACAACTCCGTGTGCAAATATTCAAATTTCATGAAAACGTATTATGTTTACTACCTACGTGTTCTTATTTCCGCTTCACAAATAATTTGTGTTTAACTTTCAGTGGCTACTGTATCATTAAATGCTCGACTTTCAGTTATTTCTATGTGTTAACTCCAGCCTAATGTATTCTTAATAAAGCCACCACGCTCCACGCATTTCAAACTTCCCAACACAAGTGTGTGTACACGTTTTCCAAATGAATGAACGGAGATGTCCTTGGATTATCGACTTCGCCTAAAAAGCTAATTTACCTGCCACTTACACAATAGGAAACACACCTCTGTTTTGTGAGGAAAACACCCCCGGCTACGCAGCTGAAAGCTTCTATACTGTCTATTATGACTGGGTTTCGCCTATACAGTGATACAACTGCTAATAAACGTGCGTAATATGTGCACACTCTGTATACATTCTCACAGCTAAGGCGAGAAGATTTGGCAGGAAGCTAATTGAAGGAGTTCCTGTCCTGATTGTGTTGGCACTGATTGTGAATACGAACATCTATGGTTCTGACAGGCTCAAATGGTTTCAATATGGCAAATGTGAGGAGTCAAGCGTAAACATGGTGATATAATAATTCGTAATATGGCAGCGTGTAACCCATGAAAACAATGAGAGAATCAGTATGCTTCTCACAGTTTCAGGGAACAGAATACGTTTTATTCACGTGAAATATGGAACCTACAACAAGCTTGCTAATTTCGTTACTATCAGCTAAGAGATTCTTTTGTATGATTCCGAGTATAGCGCAAGCATGTGTTTATGAATCCCAACCAAATAATTACGATAATAGCAGTTTGTGAATTGTAATGTGAAGAACTTAACAAAATATGCCAAGCTTTCCTTTAAGCATATCCACACTTTAAATTAAGATTAAACATACTGATTCGGAGAGAGTCATTTCTAATTCGTTAATACAAACGGTATATCTTGTAGCTTATATAACATTTGAAATGTTTCTTCCCATTAGTAAACAGGACTGACATTAAATATGACTGACATTAAATATGACTGACATTAAGTCAAATGAAGACCTGCATTATAGAAGAGAAATCAATCTTCATTTCATAACGGAATCATTAGAGAAGTCTCAAGCAAGAAATATAAATTCTTACTCAATATTGGATGTAGCTTGTTGAAACACTGTTATCTTAATATTTTCTCTGTGTTATTCTGTAAATACACACTGCTTAGTTCGTGTGCACTGTGCCTTGATAAACAGTTATAAGGACATTTTGAAGTAAGTTGTGTTTGATTGCAAATAATCAAGACAATTAGGAACATATTTCGTTAGGAAGAATGTCTTATTTTGTAGAAGGTAAGAGGTGCAAGCAACTTTTCGTATCCATTTTGTCTGATAGAAAGTAGAGTCGATTTACGATTCCGACCATGCGTATTTGAACCACTTTCAAATAGTGATGATACTAGATATTCACATTTATGAATAAAAATGCACAGTGCTCCTCACCGATCGTCAAAATCACATTCAAAGACAAGTTATTTGTTCGCCTTGAAAACATAGAAAACCCGTCAAATTTGGGAATTGTATCGGATGCCATTTTAGTCACCGATGTGTCAAATGTGTAAATGTCCTCCACGGGATGAATGAATGATGGAATAAATGAATGTGAGCATGCATGGCCAAGACATTCAACGGAGAAATAGGGAAGTGTACAATTCACAACAATGTAATCACAGTTGTATGATGTCGAAACATGTAAAAGGTAACTCTTCTGCCATGCACAATTGATGGCAACCAAGAACACATAACTTGAAACAAAAATCTATTTATGTCTATTTATTCATAAGTAAATGCGTGTAATTACTATTGTTATTCCAACAAATTATTCACTTAAACTTCTTAAATGTGACAGTGACGCATCGTTATACCTGGGATCATTCTTGTTGAAAGAAATGCAATTATGTAACTACACATAATGTAATTATAACTTTTACGGCAGCGGAGAATTCGTGAAACAACCGACACATTAGATGAAAAAGCGGAAAATGTTTAAACACAAAGTTTCTGGGGAAAGAGCACCTGTTGGGACACAATAAACTAACATACTGAACAATACTCAGCATTTAATGTTGACAAAGAAAAATCGAAACCATTCACGACACCTTAGCGACACCGCTTTACGGCACACGAACCGGCCTCGGTCATGCGCGGACGAGGGTATTTGTTCAGTGGATTATTTGATAAAGATTGACAAGGTTCTTCATAAACTAATCACATTTAAGTCACTAGTCGAGTGACACTAAAGAGGGATGTTGACATAAAGGGAGACAATTGGCCAAATATTTATCTTAACGATTAGAGAAGGCTCGTGACTGGGGCAATATGGATGTCATCAAAGAACGTTCAATGAAGGAATGTAGATTTATCTTGATACCTCGTGCTTTGCGTGCGGTATTTGGTGTCATTATTTAATCACTTGTGAGTAAATGTGACTTTGCATTCTTCTTACCTAACGACGATCTTTTATAAATACCGTGTACATAACTCTATATTTGTTCGACGAATTTTAAGTGCAAGTTAAACAATATATGGCGGCTTTCGCAGCAGCAGGTGTTCGGTTCAAACAATTTAACGATAATTGTTCAAGCTCTCCTGTTTCCCGGTATAATTTCAACAAACATATGTATACTTTAGGTTAAACACATGTAAATAAGTTGTAATGTCCTTCATAAATTAATAAATCTTTGACTAGTAAAAACGAGAAACGGTATAAGAATATTATGATTACTGTACAAAATAAAACAAGATATTCGTATACCTTTCCGCAAACAAAACCCGTAATGATATAAGTCTGATTCTAGAAAGAATGAGACCCGTGAAGAACTTGCCCCGGACTGACACAGTATCTGTTAACGTTTACATGTACATGTATATTTATCAATTGTGCATAAATAATGTTTCCTAATTCTCCATATCAATTTGTCAATCAAACTAAAAAACAATCTGTATTTAACTACGTTACCACTTTATTAGGAAGATATATTTCTCCCATTCTGAAATGGACAAGACCTATTGGTGGCTGTAACACTACCTCTCCACTCCTCTAGTGTTATCGACAAGTCAAGTTGATGCCTCATTTCTCGTACTCGCATCAACAGCTGATCGTGTTTATTTTCTTCACTTGACTTTTTACCCTGTTTTATTTATTTTGCACACTTGTTAAATTGAAGTAGGAAAATAAATTAGCAAAAATGTAAACCCTCCCTTTACCCGTTGCCGATATGATGAGACACACAAGAAGCGTGTTTGAACGTCAAATGTTTTGGGGAACGAGGAATGTACAAATTCCATAACTTTAATTCTTATGGATTATGATATTTATGCGGAATGTACAAGGTTTGTGGAAATACATTCAAGGCTTGAAATGGACATGTGAAATTAACATCTGCGTGGGATTACTGGCATCAACCATGCGGAAGTCTTGTTGTAATTAGTGCGAATGGAAAATTGCTGCTTATTTGTAAAAATATAAGTTTTCCAAATACTGCAATTACCAAAAGCTTGGTAAATTTGTTGAAAGTTTCGAACGTTGAAAGGAAATATGTGATGGTCATTGTGTTGATTTCTGTAGGGATATAACATGTTTTACAATGCTTGGACATGTGTTCTATATCACTCGCCTGTATATGACATTCAGTTAGATATATGAAGCTTGAAACTACAAGAAAAAGGTAGCTCTTTGGTATAGGAAATGACAAATTAATTATGGGGAAAATTAACGATCTGTTATTTTAAAATAAAGTAACAATGGTATTCAATAGCCATCCATTGCACGCGATCACAGAAATAAACACGCTATGAATATATATCCATACCAAGCGATAGCCCCGTATAATTTCTCTCACGATTTGAAGAAATAAAACAAGAAAACATGGGGTTTTTTTCAAACAAGATTTACTGAGTTTCAAACTTGGCGAAATTCTCACGAAGTTGGATCCCACTTGTTGTGTGAGACGCTGGTTTAGGGGGATACTAAGCCTAGTTTTGACATGATTTTCTCAATATTGTGAAACACGAGCCATCTCGGGGGAATATTTCAACCTTGTCCTAAGCTTGCCAAAATACATACCACCTCCACTCTACTGAGGGGTCTTAGGAACGGGCCGTATACATGGTCAATGTGTTTGTTTTGACATTTCACGGTTCATTCCCGTGGGACTCGCAGATATTTTATTATGAAAATTATGAAAAACAGTGCGACGGAACAGTTTATTTAATTCAGTTTTAGTTTATGTTATGAAGATATATGATATCTGATATTTTAGGAATATTTAAATCAGGAGGGAAATATTGTCATATTATAGAAATTGCCTTGCCTGTGTTATCAAAGTCAAGAGCAGCGACTAAGACTGATAATATAACTGAAAATATTATCCTCCTCTCCTGGTATCTGCTACCCATGTATAGTAATTGAAACACATGCTTATGATCCAGTCGGAATCATACAACGGACTCTGCTTTCAGCACAGGTTTCTTATGAGTATGGAGAAGATTCTGTGGGTGATATTTAATTTACAAATGCTAAGATAATCCTAATATAATCATACTGTAAATAGCAAAACTAACCACAATATAATAAATAAGAATAAATAGTTTCTTCGAAAAGTAAATGGGTTATCATACGTTAGAGCAGAACCTCTACTGTCGCGTTGCGTCAGTTAATACTGAAATAACATAATTATGGATGACTTCATTTGAAAATGAGGTAAATATATACGCAACATGTTAGTGGCTACATTAAGGGTACATATATAATTTGATTTAAACCAATAATCCGTGACTGAACAATACAGCCCAATAGAAATGCAGATACATCATTGCCCTATTAGTCCTATTTATATAACGAAACAATTGGGACTCTATGGAGATCATATATCTGTTGAAAAATATTTTGTACAAATCAGTTCAGTTTATCGAATTCTTCTTTCACTTCTCATCATACTGTGTGCTGAAGAAAGAGGGTATATATGAATAGCCACGTTTACAAATATGCTTGTTAAAAGAACATTTCGGGGATATTTGATCACTTCACGCCCATATTGAAGTGATGGTCGGTGGATTTACCGTGATATTGTAAAATGATATCCCCAAAATGTTTTCAGACAAAATATGGGTATCTTGGATTATTTTGAGAAGAAATTTGCAAGTGTGATGGGAGAGATATTTCAGGGGCGTTATGATAGGCGAGATGGGTTTCAGTAAGGAAGAGGAAATGTTGGGACCTTAGTCTCAAGACAAACATACGTGGCCTATCCCGAATGATTTAAGTTCAAAATACATGAGAAAAAGTGGAAGTATTTATGTGTTGAATTATCACTGCAACAGTGTGCTGGAAGTCGACAGTACACTGTTATATGCCATGTAGCATTATATTCAGGTGAGACTGTTTGGATGGTCTTTAAGTTTTCTGGGTACTATTTCCACATACCTGTCCAATAAATATTTTCATGACTACTAATTATTTGATACCTGTAAAGCAGACACAATAATCATTCTAACAGAGATATATGTATATTTCCCTTTTGATGCAATGTAAAAATTTAAACATGTTGTTTATGAAAGTTTAGTTGTGAAGAGAATTAGTAGTATCTACCAGAGTTATTTACTCCAATAACGCCTTGGAACACTGTCGTTTTCAAAAACAACACTACATGTCCAACTTTACATTGAGATTAGACAGCATTAAGTACAGAAACGTTTTTACGTAGAATATCAGGATATCTAATATGGGTTTGCTCTTCTCGATTTTACAACCATTTTACAGGTTTTTCAACCTGGACACTGATGTTATTAATAATATTACAAAGAAACCTCTTTGCGAAGAAGTGAAAATGACATAAATACCTGCTCGTTTTGGATTCAATATTCAATTACTATTTGTTACCTACACTCAACAAACAAACCAATTTTCTAAACGTTTCCCGGTTCCCTAACGGTGCAATAACCACCAGAGATTCTAGCCCACTCGTTCAGACTTTAGTTTTTAAGTAACAACAACAAGTCATGTTGTGAAAATATATATGGTAAACTTAGCTTTTTCTGGTCCAAGATTTTGATTTCTTACCTTCTTCTTGTTGGTTTTGCTTGAATGGAAAGTCATCGTTCACCCGAGAAACCCCCGAAAACCGAGATGATGTTATGTTAGGAGGTGGGGGACCCTGAGAAAGATCAAACCGCCAAGGACAAAACGTGGACGTCGCCGGCTGCTGTTGTTCCCTGAAAAATTGCGCCGTCGAGTTGTCCGTCGGCATTGACGTCGAGGAATTAAGACTAGAAAAGTACATTCCTGCAAGTCCAGATGGACCCATAGATGTATGGTCCACAAGATCCGGACTCGAATTTTGGCGACAAGAAGGGTTTAGTCCAAGGATTTCCTGGATGGCAAAGGAGGGTCTTTGCTGAGAGTACATCGGACTAAAATGTCCACCGGTGGAATAATGGTTCTGGAACGTCGGCATTTGTGCTGGCCCGGAGTTGAGAAGCCCGTTCATCATGGTTGGGAACAGTTCCTTCTTATCCAAAGTTATTTATTTTTCCAGACTACCTTCACGTCCTTGGAACGGAGGTTCAGTCAGAGTGATATATGGGGTTGTCGTCTGCTGCAACTTTTCTTCCAATCCAAAAGTACGACAGACGACAACTGTTCCTCTTCACAATGGAAATATACCGACTGTCGCTGTTGATGAAACTTTTTCCTTGATAAATTCCATACATCCAGGAAGCTGATTCAAAATCGGAGACCAATCATTCATGAAAAAATATTGGATTTTCTTTAAGAAGCAGACGACTCGCAGACGACAGTTTGTGTATGATACAGTGTAGGTTTGACAGCGCCTGTTGACACTCCCGACCCTACGACATACGAGACGATTATTAGTTGCTAATCCGCGTCAATCGGAGAATACCCACGGGAGAGTCGTCGCTTCATTAACTGCTGACGTAATGGTTTCTCAGACTCCCAACAACCTATCATAGAGAGACTTAGACTAACAGGGTCCGCCTTGCAGAGGTCTATTCCTTGCACACGTCTAAAATACTCATGTCAATAGGGTAATTGGCCATTGTCTCCCTTGGAGCCCCCTCCCACCTTGATGACAGAAGATACGACCTGGACCGGTGTACCAATCACATTGCGGAACGCATGCCTCGGTCCCTCAGGAAAGAGGTAGATGGCTGAACGGCGTCTCGTCTCTCAAGACCTGGAGGGGAGGGGTCGAGTTGTCGATGAGCACGTGTGCCTGTCGATTATCAGAGTCGGTCAAGCTTTGTTCAGTCCTCATTAACCTGTCTTACGTAGAGTTTCAATAGTCTTCAAAGTTGTATATGTCCTGACCAGAATCATATCCATACTCATAAGCTGGACCAGACTTCTTGGAATCATCCTGATACGTTTTTAATTGACTCTTGAGCTTCCGAGTTCATAAAAAGATCCCCAGTGTCAAAAGGAAGCGGCAAGATCGTTCGCACAATCCCTCAAGGCGTTCAACAGCGCGTTTGCTTTGTTGAATACAATAAGGGCTTTCCTAAACGCTTCTTGGAAAGTCCTTGTCTTTTGAAAGAGTCGCAGATATGCTGAGAATGTCATGTTTTCACGTTAAGGCACTGTTCCTAGTGGTTATTATGAGTAACGGTGGGGGATAAGATCAGGTTTCAGCTGTTCCAAAGTTGCCTTAACCAAAGTTTCCAACTTTTCGAATTTCACATTTTCGAGGAAAAAATGAAATATGGAAACTTTCCAAAGCTGCTTTGAATTATTTTACTTTTAGTTTTTATGCTGTGTTCCTGACATTAAAGAAATATTTACTTCGTTGAAAGATTGAAAAAAACACACTGACGTTTCTGATAAGAAGGCACAAGAGTACTCAGAAATGTCTGCTTTACATTCAGTTTGATAAAAAAAAAAATGTTCTGTTCCAATACCCTTGTTCTAAGAATACATTGATTAAATGAAACTGAATACCTTTGCACTGACGTTTCTGATGTCAGTTGTAAGCGCATTTACAGAATGAGTCGACAGAAACATTAAATCAACGCAAATAGTTTCATTGGTAAAGTGCTATAGTATATGTAAAAACACTTCAATATAAAACATTTTTGAATATTTAGACATTTACATTGTTTACTTGTCTTAGAATCATTAAGGGAAACAAATGAATACTATTGAAAGTATGACGTTTGACTTATTCAAATAGGTTTGGCAAGTATCCATTTGCATAGTAACATAACACCTTCTTAATATATTTAAATATCTATTAAATCACATGGAATGCAATCCTATTTTATGTTAGGTGATTTGTTATACAGATGGTTTGGGTTATTTAAACGCTAAAAGTATAACAAACGTACCAAAGAACAATTATATTTACGAGCCCTCTAGAATACACAAATTGTCCTTCCTTAATAAAATTCCTTCTTTACCGGAAAAAGTATATTTATTTAAGCCGAGTGTGGTTCGAAGAGCGGGCTACTTTCTGCTAATGTAAGCAGATACGATAGCAGAGTTCTCGAAAAACATTGCTAAATCCAATCAAGTAAACAAAAATATTTTGATATCTTCGTAAACTGATTTTTTGACTCTATGACAATCGTAAAGGGTTCAGTTGCTGTGAACATCTGGCGTTACACCTGCGAGACGGGGACCGAGAGAAGGTTTAATGTACAGAGAAACGTTCAGATGGAACGAGAACAAATTAGATGGCGTTTTTTTGTGTGGGTCGGACGTTTGGGCGTTTCTGCAAGCAGGATGGAAAGATTACGGTACCTTGTATGTAGGATAATTGGGAGGTTTTTTCAAACAACTGACATAATAAAATGATAGTTGTTTTAAACTTTTCAATCACGGGATTTTGGCATCGTTTACTGTTATCGGAGTTGTATATTTAAGTTTCCAAGTAAACCCCCAATTACTATATTTAAAAAAGTTGTAACTTTTTATGTGTGTTTTTAAGTTAATTTTGTCGACTAATTTTCAGTGCAATTGAAATATGACTTAGGTGAAGCAAACACAGTGTAAAATATGATAAATTATAATTGGAGAAAATGATAGCTGATTGACATGTTATTGATAGACATGCAATTCAACCTCGCAATAGCCAAATATACTTTAGTGAATATTTTATACATTTACATTAATTTGATTTTAAAGTATATTAACTATTACTGTTTTCTTATTATGCAATTATCATAATACGTTTACGATACATATTTTACCATTTAATTTTGTTTTGCGATAAAATTGCCATAGTTTGGTTCCATCAATATACGAATGCTAGCATAGACAATATATCCATCATATGAGAACATTTCGTTTTGAAAGGGCTGATGTGAAATAGTTCTTTCCTTAATCCCTTCCCAATGTACACAAACAAACACACCAACGTTAAAGATTAGTGATATTTGTTATCAACCACAGTAAATAACATAATTGATTTAATTACAAAGTTATATGGAAACAAACAGCACTACATGTGGAAAACAAATGCTCGCCTCGGAATTGCCTATCACAGCCCGGGCCAATTTGACACTGGTGAGGTTTGGGTAACGAAATACGAATCTCGTGTTTTAGCCAGGGTCTTATATCGCGACCTCCGTTAGGTCCAATTAGACTTGCGATTCTCACCTCCCACCCGCTTGGATCGTGAGCATCATGTAAAGCACGATGGGAAATTCTCGTGCTCGGTTCGTGCGTTCGGAAGATGTCAATCATTCCCCGTTGTATATAGTCTCATACGCCAATCACGAGAGAAAATTGAGCCACTTAGAGTTGACAAGTTCTCCGATCGTCATTTGAATGAACCCAACCTCGCTCCATTATTTTCATATCTCCAGCTTACAAGTTTTCATAATTAGAAGGCGAGCTTGTTTAATTACATGTCAGATCTTGGCTTCGTGTTTGAACCACATGGGGTAAAATGCCGACCAGCTTCTTCGCGCACTCTCTGACTTTTTTCAACAAAAAGTATAGTATTATATTTCTTATATTCAACTTTGTGATAAACTGTAAAATGGGTTCAATTGGTTTCCGCGTGGATGAGATACACGTATAAATACGCGCATTCATTTACATGTTAGACTGACGAAGGATTAAATGTGTCAAGTCAAATAGAATGTATACTGTTTTCTTTTTCCAAACCATGAACTTTCTGTAAAAAACACTCCTTAAAAATCCTGTTTTCATTCACCTGTTCAGTATCATATGTTCCGCGTTTGTATTAGATGTAAAGAGCAATGCTGGTTCTCTTCAAAGTCTGCAAGAAGGTTCAGCTTGCAACATCAATCAAATACCCGAACAATCAATACATTCATAAAAATAAGATCAAAACCGTCTTGCTTTTATGTATTTGTTTTGTGCAAACTAAATAATAAATACAAAAACATAAACAATATATATACCAAGCACTAAGGACATTTAAAATAAGAGCAAGAAAACTCTTTCTATAATTGTAAGATGTGTCTGCCAAAAGCAGGGTCCGATGTGCGACTCCCACATTGTTTATGGATCCTTAATAGTAATAGTGTTCTAGAAAATTCGAGCGTATCCTTTCCAACCTGTGTCAAGGTCACAAACAAATGCAAAGGCTCGTCAAGTGTTCAGTTGAAATCACACGGCGATATGTGATCAATCAAACTGAATACAATCATCTTTGATGGGACGGGCAACTAAACACCAAACATAGAAGCAATATTACATGAAACAGTATCTTACAAGAATGAACACAAGTGTAGGGATTTGTATTCATAAATATGTTGCACTTCATCTTTTATTTTAAAACAATAAATACAAATGGGGCAGATTTATCCAACAAATATACGGCATCTTGACACTGACACCCGATGACGTCATAAACTTATCCACTTATGACGTCATTGAATAAAGTAACAGTTAGCACTTGTAATACAACATAAAAGAAAAATTACCTCTATTTCAGAAGCAAACGTCAGTAGTGAGAATAGATGTGCATTATTTTCTTAATAATTATTTTGTTTATATCTGGAAATATATTATCGGTATTTCATTCCCGTGAAAAGAGCACCTTAAGTAAGAACTATAGTTTCAATTTGTGTAATGACTACTGTTCTCAGTGAACTTAGGTAAGAAAACAATACTATAGATAATCTATTCCTGTTTTCAGATACCATACTGTGACTTGAAAATAAAAGGTACAGTTCTGCATGTCACTGATGAGAAATAAACTATTTTACACAATTTTCGTTAGTTTGTTGTTGAACGCCGCGCTTATGACAATTTCGCGCCATATGACAGTGGAGTGTAAATTAATCGAGTTTGCACCAGACAACCCGGTGACTGAAATCATGAACACTGACCGTCGCAGTTGGGATACCATGACATTTAAACACCAAGTCAACGAGCCTGATCACTCAGTCCCGTAAATCGCCTCTTGCACACATCTGCTGCTGAAGACCAATTCTTCATACAAATGCCATTCATACAAAGACTATTCGGTTTGCAGAAACAAGCACAGTGACCTTACGTTGCTTTGAGATTTACCATACTGGTACTAAACTTTAAAACTGAATAACACATTCATTTGGTATTAATATAATAATCATATTTGCGATTTTAACTGATGGAATGGATATAGTATCTCTATTTTCACAACAGGAAGTGTTACAACGATCCCTGTAGTGATACAGCCATCATCACTTATCAACACACAATCTTGCCAATTTCTTAATAATATCATCTAAGAGCCTGAAGTGCGAAAGTTCGTGCCAGGTTGCTGATCCTGCAATGCACATTGTTAGTTTATTAGCAGCTAACTGTAGCGATGTTGCCTCATGGGCACACCAGCAGATTGTCAGCTTGCTTTAGTACCTTACTCCTGAAGAACGATATGGTGTTGGAACAAACTGCCTGCAAGCTGGGGAAAGGTCTGGGGTCATCTGGCACAGTGCGTGTTGGTTGTGGAATCGCGGTGCTTTGTCTTCTGTAATTGCGAGTGAAAATGTACGTGGAAAACACTTGGGAGGGGATATGTGGACTGTTAAGCAATGTAAGTGGTCTTTCGCCAGGTATCGTCACTATTTGACAGTAAGTGGTCTATCGCCAGGTATCGTCACTATTTCCCAGTGATTCCCCGACACATTGTTTGGCTGTAGTTGGACTCGTACAGTGGAGATGTCTTAAGATTATGGGAAAAGTTTTGTCGCATTTTTATATTTTTCAGCATGAGTAATTTCTGTTTCGACTGTACTGAACAGGTATTCTGAAATATAAATTTATCTGGATTTCGGAAAATCTAATAGTATTAATACCATCTGTCTTGTCACCTTACGTTTCTGATGATTACGGGATTTGTTGTTGATTGTAATTATACTTGGTGTAAAGGGCAATGTTAGTCGTAACTATCAACTGACCCCTATGGTCTGATCACCGTGCACGTGAAATATAGTGGATTCATACTCATGGCTGGACGGGAGATTATGGCATACTGACCACCATGAAGGTTGCTGGACAAGGTGTCAGCTGTGTGACGTGCGGTAATTTGAGGATTATGTACGTTACTGATTTGCTCAGACCTGCTACACGGAGACATCGACCTTTCCTCTGGACGGATGCTGATGGTTGGTCACGACAAGCCTAATCCTTTTGACAAACACCTGGTGTTATCACATTGTTGCTGGCGGTGTCATACGTTTCGATGTGTGTTTGTGCGTTTGTCCCTACATGGGTCTCAAACTGTGTCACGCTGCATGTCTGATGTTTATTACATGCCTGCCAACTGCGTGTTTCGATGGCTGTCTCGAGGTGTTTGTGTGTCGCACGTTCTGTCAGGATGTGTCCTGCTGAATGTATGTTTGCCGTACATGATACAAATCTGTGGCAATGTGTCTTGATAAATGTCCCGTTGTATATTATAAGTTGTTCACTGGTCACGAGGGGGACATGGGTTGATATACCCTCTATGTTTGTTTATGTTCCCTGAGCCCGAAGGGAACGTAAACAAACGGAGGGTACATCAACCCATGGGCCCCGAGGGGCCAGTGAACAACGTATTTATCTTACCGAACACATCAATTTTAATTTTGAACTGTTTGAAGCACGGATATTGGATCATTATAAGGAGTACCGGAGTTAGGCCACATCCCAAATACTACTAACACCAAGTACCAAACGAATTTCCACAGTTCGGCATTTCCAGCGGGTAACATAGGAAATGTTACTAAAAGCAAGGATAATCTACAACAGGGATAGATCACTCGCTTGCTTTCTTTACCATTTTACTAATTAAAGTGTGCCTCGTCATGCTCCAACGCACACAGTGACTTGGTTAGTTCCCAGCGCAACTTCGGCTGCGTTTAACAGTACTTCAGCCAGTTTATTGTATCAGTCGGTATTTTACAATGAATGAATGAATGAATGAATGAAGAGCAAGAATTATATGTGAATGAATGAAATAAATAAAGAAAAAGAACAAAAGAAAGAGATACATATGTGAATGAATGAAAGAATAAATGATACACCACGGCCATCCCTTCCCAAACATGTTAAAGAACGCAAAACTATCGCTAGGACACACGTGTTAACATCAGCTGTCCTTTTTTTTAAAAATCTACTTTGAGACATTTTTTACATTAGTAATTAATTCAGATATCGTATTGCATGTGTGGAATGGCCTGGACATTGACAGAATGTTAACTGACACTGTCCCACACCCCTCAAAAAAAGAAAGTTTAGAATTATCCCAAAGCGTTGTAAACACCTTTCCAGTTTTGTAAAATACTAAGATCAACAAAAAAGAAAGAGGTTTTAGAACTATAACACTCAAGCATCACAAGCATCAATGGCGGATCAGAAGAGATCGGCGATATGTCATATTTTTCACACACCTCAAATACACCCTAACAATTTTTTTAAATTATAAAACTATCACTATTACTTGCAAACACCTTTCACCTGATGGTATATTCTCCTCATAAAATTAAAGGTGTATGTGAAAGATGTTTTAGAACAATAACTTAAAACACTCAAACAACGCCCTGCAGTATTTCAATGGCAGATCGGCGATATGTCATATTTTTCACACACCTCAAATACACCCTAACAAATGTTTTTAGTTATAAAACTATCACTATTACTTGCAAACATGAGTCTCACTGTGTACCTTTATATTTCAGCAACCCATGCTTGTCGTAAGATACGACTTACGGGATCGGGTGGTCAGGCTCGCTGACTTTGTTGACACGCGTCATCGTATCCCAATTACGTAGATCGATGCTTATGCTGTTCATCACTGGATTGTCTGGTCCAGACACGATTATTTTACAAACCGCCGCCATATAGCTGGAATATTGTTGAGTTCGACGTCAAACAACCAGCCAACCAATATTTCAAAGTTTGACAGTGTGTCTGTAGATGTGTACTTTGATGTGTCTTGCAGTGTGTCCCTCTGTGTCTCGAAATGTGTCCTTGTTTATCAACATATATCACACTGCTTCTCAAAGTGTGTCTCAGTGTGGGTGTCTCAAAGTCAATCTTGAACTGTCAGTGTGTGTCTCACTCTGTCCCCAAAGTGACTGTGTCGATGTGTGTTTCAGTGTTTGTGTCTCGAAGTCAATTTTGGACTGTCAGTGTGTGTCTCACTCTGTCCCCGAAGTGACTGTGTCGATGTGTGTTTCAGTGTTTGTGTCTCGAAGTCAATTTTGGACTGTCAGTGTGTGTCTCACTCTGTCCCCGAAGTGACTGTGTCGATGTGTGTTTCAGTGTTTGTGTCTCGAAGTCAATCCTGAACTGTCAGTGTGTGCCTCACTCTGTCCCCGAAGTGACTGTGTCGATGTGTGTTTCAGTGTTTGTCACTCTGGTAGCAAATGTGTATTAATGTTTTCATTGTGATCCCAACTAATAAGATGCTTAACATCCATGCGTATTTACACGGAGTAACTGATATGAGATGTCAGTAAGATAAGGGAGCTATGCCTCGGTAAGTGGCGTCTGTAGATGTAGGCACAGCATTGTGGAACTTCTTTGTGGATAACAATAGAAAATTATTTCTCACTTAAAATGTGTTTTTACAAGAGGTTTTAAAAACGACGAGAGCATAGGGAACAATACAACAACCGTCTAGAGCCGTTGTTCCTAAACATTTAGCGACTTGTCCGGTGTATCATTAAGCTCATGCAAATAATAGCTTATTCATGTCTCTAACAACCAGTATTAGCCTCAGGGAAATACATCCAAACTTCACCCGGGAGTAAATTGCGCACAGGAGAAAAGTACGGAAGGGGTTTAAATCGTTCATCTTTTGTTTGACAAACTTTAGACTTTTGAAAGCCTGTTGACCCGCTCTTCTGCCTTGTGACCCCAACTTGGGAGCAATTGGACCCCCACGTGATACCCACAGGCTACGATTTTCCGACATAGCGGGTTTGAAAGCAGTTGAGAGACGGAGTTGGGGACGGTGGCGCTTTGTGCGTGACGTTTCCCCGCGAGGTGTACGGCAGGGCGCTGGTCTTGAACAAACTTTATTTTGTTCCCCACGGAATCAACCGTACGAACAGTTGTCGACTAATTCACTAACTGCTACCTTTCGTCTCACCAATCTCGTTAATTCTTCACACCTCGTTAATTTTTCACAACATTTCCAGCCGTGTCCAAACTAACAGCATTGCATGGGGTCTCCAATAACGTAGACAAATCAGCGTTAATTTGGCGGAGGTGTAAATCCCACACAACGAAAGTAAGATCCTCAGATGCTTCGTAACATCTCAAGCATATTTTCGTGTAAAACAAATACATGGCAAACCGTTCCTGTTTCTTCTCCAACCAGAGGGGTAAGCAAGAAAGCGACAACCGGAGACCCTCTGAGGTAATTAAGAGTTTTTATATTAGCGGGATGCTCCCACTTTCCTGGAGGGAAGATTTCAATTAGAAAGACCCATCGGCACGGAAGATACACGATAAAATTTTATTTTTCACCGGGGTCTAATAGTTTTAATTGGGCCCGCGCGTCTCTTTGAACGTTGTCGGAAACGTGCTCGACCCAGGAACGGCTTAACAGCAGTCGTCAATTATGAGCACAGAACCTTTGCCTCGTCATTAACAGACTGTTTCGATGTCGTGTTTCTTCCTTAATGATCGGTGGTTCGGGATGGAGCAACAACCCCGACACATAACAACCAGTCATTAGGGGCAAGTTTTTTTATTGTAGGGAAATAGGCACTGTACTTTTCTTCCTATGCACTGTGACTAATATCTGTAAAACCATCGCGTAAAAAAAACGAAAAAAATCGAACATCTCTTTTTTTATCTTAACTTAGACACAAGAACATTTAAACGAATCAGAACTTTCCGCTGATTCTTTCAAAATGCCACACTTCCATGGTATTATTAAGGTAATTTTAATTTTTTTGCTTTGTAAATTGTGTTTTTTCAGTGTTACGCTAATGGTAATTTGAACGAATCGCCACTTCTTATTCATTCTCTCATTTCTCCCAATTGGCACCCTCTAATGCTAATTGTCCAGTATTGTGTATCTAATGGCGATCTGATTTCTTATTTCACATATCATTATCTTATTATTAATTAACGATCGATGTTGCTTTCCTTTCAGAGCCATTTACAAACCATGATATTCTAATACCGCTGAAATGATTTGTATCAATTTTCACAACGTTGGCGAAATGCCACGAAATTTGAACACTGTAATGCATAATTTAGCTATTTTACTAGTTGATTTTGTCAAAACCTTGTCGTTTAAATACATTTACAGGTAAAGTAGTAAGTTATATGTTGGCAAAATCACGAAGTCCGTGAAAATAAATCTATATATTATCTTATGTGAATTCTTAATAAAACTTACAGGAAAGTACCGAGAATTAATTGCAATGGTTGAAATGAAAACATATTTTGTTTGCATATGAAACAGTCTGTTTTCAAAGTAATGTTTCACCAACTTTGGTTGTAGATTGGATGTTAAATAATCTTACTCAATCATGTTATTCAATTTCATAATTCATTATATTGTTTATATATAACGTTTTTGGTATTTGTTATTTAATACTATGCTAGTAATTACTGATAAAAGAAACAACAGTAGTAAATACTAGCACGAGCCTCAATGACAATATTTATGAACAGCTGGATCTCGTTGGGTTGCTGAAGGGTCATTTAGGCAGACGTTTTTGTCAGGAAAGAGTATCAATGGCATTGAGAGGCGCATATTGTCATTTTGTAGCACCGACAGGCTAATACCCTGCTGCTAATAGGAACACTGCCCGTGGAAATAATTCACGTTTGGACAGTAGTCAAGTATTATGATCTTCAATGGCCGCTGAAGCTACATAATTGGCGAGAATCTCATTAACATGTGACGTGGAGGATTGACATAATGTACAGACCGATTGTTTTATTCTAAAAAGCGAAGGAATTAACTAAGATAGACAAAAAGAGTTATTTTAAAACAAATAGAACACACGCCTTATCTATTCCAATAACCGCTTTTTGCAGCATAAATACATCCTCATGTGATAGTTGTTTTAACCTTCAAAGTCATTTTCCCTATTTTTTCTATTTGTGTCTTCTAAAAAACTCAAAGGCATAGAATAAGATTTTGTTTTAATCAAGCCTATTTCAGCATTATGTTGAGGGGTTACGATTACAATGATTTAGGAAGCAATTTGAACTTTTAAACGAATGATTATTCCAATTGAAACCATTTTACAGCATTGTTTTCTATTTTTGGAAATAGAGTTGGTATAATTTATATGCTATTAGCCTGGAGAATTTCACTTAAGTATGCCAATGAGAAGCCTTTGACGTCGTACGGCCTCCCGGAGATAGCCCTACACGATATTTGTCAATGGTCGGATGGGCATGTAATTAATCTGGAGTTTGAATCAAAGTAGTGTGTTTTGCCTTGAGTAACACCATGGACAGTTTGGAATTTCGAGGAAAACCCTAAAATATATCAGGGAGTGAGTATTGTTATATGCCGCTTTGAGCAAAATGCCAGCAATACCACGGTATCAAACAAAGGGGATGAGCTTCACACACAGCTCATCGCCGTGACGAACAAACGCGGCGGTCTGCATCGCACCCTATATATATATATTATAGTCAGGTAGAACTTCCATTTGGTAAACCTGTTTCATCTGATGGTACTCTTTACAGTGGAGAAAATTGTCAAACACATGTGTCATCTCTTTCGTACTCATTTCAATGAAGAAATTCCCAAACACATGTTATCACTTCGAACTCATTTCAATGGAGAAAATTCCCAAACACAAGTGTGGTCCCTTCGTACTCTTTTAAATGGAGAAAATTCCCACTCACATGTGTCATCTCTTGTGACTCTTTTCAATGGACACTCCGTTCAAACTACAACTCTTGGTGAATGCTGCGATGTGACAGTATAAAGACATCAGCTTTGCCTGTGTCATTCATTCTAATTGTAATCTTTCTAAAAGGAAAAGTCCCTAAACACCCTGCATCGTTGGCATACCACAATGGTTCGCCAGTGTTAGCTGTCTCAATTATTGGTTCCCGGTTTGTTTAGCTTGGGTTTAGGAGTGTATATAATTATTTGCTTCCATAATAAATCTTTATACTCGCCTGCCCACTCACGCACGAGACAGATATGTGAAAATCTCCGCTATACATATTAGTTAGTATATCTTCAGGCAGTTAAACCTGTTTGTGTTGTTTGTTGTTCAGATATACATATAATTATTCAGTCTAATTTCCTGTATTATGAACATGTTGAGCACAATCATGTCACAGAGATTACAACCATCGGCAACAAACTGACTAATGATTGAATAATGTACATAACGTCAATACTGATTTGACATAACACCACGAGATAATTGGCGCACCAAGAGTTAACTGGTGCATATTAAGATAGTTAATCTGTTCAGAATGAATTAGTCACACCATAACCAGAGCCATAATTAGACTGCTTCTAACCGATATGAGATTACCGATTGAATGTTCTATAACAGTCTATAACACACAGGCCATCGCGTGGACAATAGGCAGGCTCTACATGAAATGAAAGTTTATTATTGTATCTTAGGCAACGTATACAAAGTTCCAGTTTATAGTGATTCCAAAAACACATGCCTCTGATAACTAGAAGTCGGAATCGTACAATGGACAGACATATTATGATTATGGAAATGGTTATATCCCTTTTATTAAAATAAGATATATAAAGTTTAAGACATTTTAAGATCATAACTCGTTCTCATAATTTCTTAACTTGGAAAATAGAAAAGCTCCAGAGAATTGGACTTTCTAACGTGTTTATATACCTTCATAGTCCCTGTTACAAATCAACACACCGTGGAATTCGTCTTCAAAGGTTGTGAAACACACGGGGCGTTTTAGTAACGTTTACTGAGGGGGAGGGAGTGGTGGGGTTAAACCGTTAGCTCTACACAGCTTCGGGAAGACTTCCCACATGGGTACGGGGAGGTGGGGTAGCCTAGTACTTAAAGCGTTCGCTCGTCACGCCGAAGACCCGGGTTCGATTCCTCACATGGGTACAAGGTGTAAAGCCAATTTCTAGTGTCGCCCACAGTGATATGGCTGGAATATTGCTAAAAGCGGCGTAAAACTAAACTCACTCACTCACTCCCATATGGGTACAATGTGTGTGGCCCATTTCTGGGCGTGTTACTTGCGTGATATTGAAAGCGGTAACATCTCATTCACTCAGTAATTGTATTAACCGTCAGATTCGAAACGTCTTGCCTTTCAGTATTTACTGGTGGTTAAGTGAAAACATTTCCTGGCAAAACATTTCTCGAACAGTTTGTACCCAAACATATTAAACGCAAATCTTCGTTACCAACAGCCAAACATATCCACGGTTATTTAGCAACCTTTACACCCTACCCAACTGGATGAAGCTGGCATTCAACCAACACTCAACCCTTGAATGTCCGGTTTAGAATGGTCCTTCAGCAAGCCTAACGGGATCGGGAGGTCAGACTCGGTTAATTGGTTGAAGCATGTCATCGTATCCCAGTATTGCGTAGATCGATGCTCATGATGGTAGCCATTGGATTGTTTGGTCCAGACTCAACTATTTACAGATCACCGTCATATAGCTGGACGATTGCTGAGTGTGGCGTTGGCGAAGAAGTAAACAAAAAAAACGAATCAATATTAGCAAATCCTGAAGGGTTGATTTTCTGTTCAAAGCGGCATTACATGACGTCAGTCACGATTCACCAAAACAACTAGCACTGGCACTGGCACTGTTTAATTTCTAATTTGAATTCGATGTAATATATTTATTCAGATATATTTGATCGAAATCATGCAAAGTTTGAAGCTCAATGTCCAGTAGATTTACAACGTTCGATTGACAAAGGATTTAAACCAAAGGAAGATAGTGCTAAAGTACCGGATCACCTTGATCTATTTTCTGCCTCACTACGAACGGACATATTTTCACGCATAACACATGTTTGCATTTTTTCACTCCCTTTTTTCTCCTCCTGATATTTCAATCAATGTACACTTCATACACCATCAGAATCTGGGTGGGGAAGAAATTCCTCAAGTTGATATTGCAAAAAACACCAGCGACCACCAACATGTTATGGAGAGGGTGGCAAGTCTTTATCAAAGGTGTCGCTCAACAACTACTCGTGTAAACACTGGGTGTGTAAATGAAATGACCCTAAAGTGTAAGATTATACTCCTCAGAGGTAATAATTGTGTATTCTTATCGCATGACGTCTCAGTCGCGCTACTTTTACAGGTTAAATTTGTACAACGTTTTGTTTCACATGTCGTTTGGACGTTGTTTTAGTGATTAGTGGTGAATTGACTTAAGGTATTTTGGACGTTTTGCCCCAGCAGATTCGATGTAATCGCTGGCGTACATGTGTTAGACATCTGTGCATGTGTTGAAGCTAAAAAGTGTCTTTATTCCTTGTAATGAAATACACCACAATCTGAATACTAGTATAACTAGCATATGTCTCCAACAGTTGGAGCTGTTATAGTGGACAATATACAGCAGATTGTGTTATTGTATTGGTACCATATGTACATATTGGCATCAGGTTAGGTTGCGTTATTGTATTGGTACCATATGTACATATTGGCACCAGGTTAGGTTGTGTTATTGTATTGGTACCATATGTACATATTGGCATCAGGTTAGGTTGTGTTATTGTATTGGTACCATATGTACATATTGGCATCAGGTTAGGTTGTGTTATTGTATTGGTACCATATGTACATATTGGCATCAGGTTAGGTTGTGTTATTGTATTGGTACCATATGTACATATTGGCATCAGGTTAGGTTGTGTTATTGTATGTGTACCATATGTGCATACTGGCATCAGGTTAGGTTGTGTTATTGTATGTGTACCATATGTGCATCTTGGCATCAGGTTAGGTTGTGTTATTGTATTGGTACCATATGTGCATATTGGCATCAGGTTAGGTTGTGTTATTGTATTGGTACCATATGTACATATTGGCATCAGGTTAGGTTGTGTTATTGTATTGGTACCATATGTGCATATTTGCATCAGGTTAGGTTGTGTTATTGTATTGGTACCATATGTACATATTGGCATCAGGTTAGGTTGTGTTATTGTTTTGGTACCATATGTACATATTGGCATCAGGTTAGGTTGTGTTTTTGTATTGGTACCATATGTACATATTGGCATCAGGTTAGGTTGTGTTATTGTATTGGTACCATATGTACATATTAGCATCAGGTTAGGTTGTGTTATTGTATTGGTACCATATGTACATAGTGGCATCAGGTTAGATTGTGTTATTGTATTGGTACCATATGTACATATTGGCATCAGGTTAGGTTGTGTTATTGTATTGGTACCTTATGCACATATTGGCATCAGGTTAGGTTGTGTTATTGTATTGGTACCATATGCACATATTGGCATCAGGTTAGGTTGTGTTATTGTATTGGTACCATATGTACATATTGGCATCAGGTTAGGTTGTGTTATTGTATTGGTACCATATGTACATATTGGCATCAGGTTAGGTTGTGTTATTGTATGTGTACCATATGTGCATCTTGGCATCAGGTTAGGTTGTGTTATTGTATTCATTTCAGTTGCAAATGCATGAATAGTTTGCGTTGTATGGGTATGGACGGCTTTGGTAGAATGTGTCACAATATTTGAAGAACGGTTTGTGCTATTTTATTGTCAAAGATGTAACATTTTATGTTATTATGTTGGTACCAAATATATACAACGTTTTATGTTATTATATTGTCAAGATGTATACAATAGTTTGTGTTATTATCATACTTACGCTATATGTATGCAACAGGCTGTATTGGTATATTTGTACTGAATGTATTCTAAAATTTGTGTTATTATATTGGTCGCAGATTTATAGAACTGTTTGGGTTACTGGTAATATATGTTGGCAACAGTTTGGGTTACTGGTAATACATGTTGGTAACAGTTTGGGTTACTGGTAATATATGTTGGCAACAGTTTGGGTTACTGGTAATATATGTTGGCAACAGTTTGGGTTACTGGTAATATATGTTGGCAACAGTTTGGGTTACTGGTAATATATGTTGGCAACAGTTTGGGCTACTGGTAATATATGTTGGCAACAGTTTGGGCTACTGGTAATATATGTTGGCAACAGTTTCACTTTGTGTTAGTATATTGTGTGCTACAGTTTTTGATATTCATGGTGGCAGATGTATACGACAGATTATGTGAATGTACTACTGCGAAGAAGGTAAGGACTGTCCGATACTTTCATAACACTAAACACACATGGAACAATAGTGGTGGACGTATATGCATTATGGTTACAGTGCACAAAAACATACTGAACTACATTGTGAAGGTTACAAAATTATACCTTTGAATTAAGCTTAGGTTGAAATAACCTTATAAACATTTGTTCTCTTTCCATCCGTATTTGTTTATCATTGTTAAACAATTGATAAAACAGAAAGATAGTTAACTAGCCATTCCCGTATTCATCAATGTGTTTGCTTACATTCATACATCGCACATTAGGATCTTGCTGTCTGTGTACAGTCACTCGGTCCTTTAGTTGCATTCTAGTTTCTCCAGTATAATGTTCACCACATCCCGCACATGTTAAAACATATATAACATTTTTGCTGCGGCATATCATGTTGGTCTTGATAGTAAATGGTTTGTCTTCACAAAATGTAAATTTGCAGTCTTCAGTTTTGTTTGAACAAGTTCCACAGCGAGTGTGTGACATTTTGTTCCACTGACAGTGTTTGTATCTTGTGAATATGCAGATGGACAAAGGATTTGTTTTAGATTTTTAGGCTGCCTAGTGCTACGTATAAATTTACTCTTAGATAAACCTTTTTTCAGAGATTCACTTTTATACAAAATTGGAAGATTTGCTTTCATAATGGGCATAATTGTACAGTTATTAGGATTGTAGGTACAAACAAATGGAAGAATGTCCATCTCTGTATTTGTTTCTTTTGTTTTCATAAGTGTCTCTCTTGGGACTTTTACTGCTTTATGAACAGCATGTTCAACTACCCCACGTGGATATCCTTGTAGTTGAAGATATGTCTTCAATTCTTCTAATCTTACTTGTGTCTACATCCGAAACAATAACACACACTCTTCTTTCCACTGCATATGGAATACTTATTTTTGCGTGCCGCGGGGGACACGAATTGAATTGCAGGTATTGAGCGTGTCCGTCGGCTTGTAATAAATATCCGTTTTCAGTTGGTCTCCTTGCTTTATAATTTTCACGTCAAAAAGAAATCTCATTATGGTCGAATATAGATATTAGACAGATATTTCTTCTTGTCAAAACGTTATCTGCACGAGATCACGAGATACACGACGCATAACGGTAGTATCTATGTCATCATCATGCGTATGACGGTACAGTAAGCGACAATAGTGGGAGACGTGTTGACAAATCGTTTGTATATTTATTGCCTATAACCTGCAAAAATCACTTGTGTATGTATGTGTGTATGTGTGTATGTGTGTATGTATGTATGTATGTATGTATGTATGTATGTATGTATGTATGTATGTATGTATGTATGTATGTATGTATGTATGTGTATGTATGTATGTATGTATGTTAGTTAGAGTTTGTGTCATATACAATATGTGTTATTCCAGATACTACCCAATTATCTCAATGAACCCGCCGTACATGCAGAGGCACGTCACATTGGCTCACCCAATTACCTTACCCTTATTTGATGAACATTTTCTGTGGACGTCCATTATTTCACATGGAACTGTGTCTTCTCAGATACATTTTTGTATACTTTTCCTTGATAATACACTTGGTATAACATAAGGTATAACACGCATATTTACACTGAAAAAAATGACCACATCTTTCACATTCGTTTTAAATCACAAATGATTAATTTGATTGAAATTTCTACCAAAAGGTGAGGTGAGGTGAAATTGGGTTTAACGTCGTGCTTGAGAATATTTCGCTCATATGACGACGTGCATGCGTGTGTATGTGTATGTGCGGCTGCTTGTACTAGCCCAGACAGAAGCTGGTTTTATAGTGCTAGCCCACTGAGATACCATGCCGCAGTGAAGCATGAATAACCCACTCAGACACATTATACTGAATCCCAGCCGACCAGTCCTTGTTGTACCCATTAATGCCGAGCGTCAGGCAGGGACCAACAAGTACCATATTTTAACGTCTTTTGGTATGACGCGGTCGGGGATCGAACCCGCGACCTTCCGCTCTCCGGGCGGACGCTCTAACCACTACACCACGGAGGCGGTCGAAAAGGTGTGTTGGGACAGGTGTATAGATAAATAAGCTATATAATGAAAACACACCAATGATGATGAGTATTCGTTTATTAACCAAATCAATATTTACATCAACCAAGTGTATAATCACATAAATATCACAATGTATTTACATACAACTATGTAATAGTCAGCATACAGAAGGAATCATTTTGACTAAGGTAGAGAAAGATTTTGAAGGATCCCGTAACTGTCACATTGCATTCTCTGTCAATCGATTTAACCAGCGTCAGTGAAAGAAATGTACACTGTCATTTCCATGTAGATGTAATATAGATTTACAAAACCCGTTCCTAATGAAAATCTTGCTATAAGGGGCTTAACAAATGTGGAAGGTATTTACAGTACAAAACAAGCGTAATAAGACAGTTTGAAGTCTAACTCAAAAAGGTTGTGGTATGAAAAAAGCTTGGGGCCACTAGAAATATCAAAACTTCAAAATTCGTAATTATGGTATGAAACTGATCGAACATGTTTGCATCTTTTCAGTCTGGTATATGGTGAGATGAACAGAGACTAGTTCTCATTGATTTGATCATATCTGATATCTTGCATACCACTTATTTCTTACAATATGGGTCCTGTAGTCTAAATATTTATAAACCGAATCTAATCCTTCCACTTCTGCTGACGATAGTGGAGTGCCTGGATTCCACTGGTGTTATGATCAATTATCATTATTTGCATAATGCCTGACAGACAAATTACGACAGTGGTGGAAATCTGATGATAGCAAGTTTGGTGAATACAGAGGATGTTCAATGAGTTCCAAGCTAACCATGCAGTGCAACCATGGCGACAACAGACGGTTGCACAAAAATGTCCTTTTGGAATGGAAAGTGCTCTTCTTGATACATGCCATCTATTGCAGATGCACAATACACCATATCATTTGTACTCACATACCTCGCTCATAATTTTGCAGCCACCTCTCGCAACTCGCCTAATTTTCAAACATTTACATACATTTATGTCTGCCTTTAGAAACTTAGGTAATGTTTTTATTGAGCGTATTTCAGTCATTTACTACAGAAAAGGTAATAATATATTTTGAATAACATGCATACCGTGACAGAACATGATAGTTTTATGTGATTCAACCAACATATAAGTCGTACGATCACGTTGTTGTGAGCACTGGCGGTATGTACAATTAGCTCACATAGGGTATAAGCAATAGAAGTATACATGAATAGGCTTTCATAAAATGTATTATATATACATACGTCTTCATAAAATGTAAGTACTATACATACATGATCCTTAAAAAAATGTAAGTACTACATATATACATACACCTTCATTCAGTTTAAGTGTTATATGTACATAAGCCTTCATAAAAAAGTAAGAACTGTATGAACTGGGGTTTATATGAGTTAACATACAGGTGCTGACCCGATACCTACACCGAGAAATATGTATTTCCTCTGATAGGCTGACCCATAATATATAGAGGATATTTTGTTATTGTTGTCAAATAACATGTATATTTCATCGAGTGGTCTGACAAAGTTGATGTGTTCACGAGTGACAACATTAACAAAATATTCTATTTATTATATTTTGATCATTGTTTATGAATGATCGAGACATCGAGTAAGAAAGTTTTATTACGCAACCCAACTACAGTCTAGCCCTTGAGCAGAAAGCAGTTCCAGGCAAAAGTTATATTCCACTCATTGAAATAACATGTTATTCTACTCAGTGAAAATACCATTTTTATTTTCACCAATATTTAGAGTATTTCAGCCTTAAGAATATAATAAAAAGCATGCTTTACCAGTAGGTGCACTATTTAGGACTAATCCATACGGTAAGTAACAGCAAAATCCCATACAAACATGTGCATGTAATGGGTATGACATATCTTCATATCCGGCCTATGTGTATGACTTATGAATGTCTGTATTGAAACGTTGTTATAAACGCAACCCAGTTCAAACGGACTTTCATAACTAATCTAAACTTCTCCCCGTCCTGGTAAACGAAATCTGTGGACATATTGCATATAATTGCATTCATTCAATGTTTCAATTTACGGCAGTTAACTAAGATGCTGACGAAGCACATTTGTAGTAATGACGTATGCCCCAGGTCTGACGCAGTACACACGTCAAGTGAAATGACGTCAAACAGAGAATTTGCTTGTTGACGAAAGGATTTCAAAACAATCTTCAATAAACAAAACCTTATTTTTTCGCTGCAAAACACACGTCCGTATTTACGTTCAGATATGGAAACTTAAGAAATATAATATGAGTGGTTCCGCTTGGTTGTGCCATGTTTGTGTGAAGTCGTGACACATGCATATGGTGAATACATATATTGGTATATACACCATTACCCTGACTATAAGCAATGATATATACTATTACACCCAAGTAGTCTCTATGTAGTAACAGTATGCACAATCCACTTGGTCTGGTATCTCTGTGTTGGACTTTTAAGGTTTGGGAAAGGGACAGCACATCGTTCAACCTCACAGGTGACCAGCAGAATGGTTCTATTTACAGGTACACACATGCATTAACATCACCAATAGCATGTCACACTTCATTCCATCAAAATGGGTTTACATTATGCCGATAACAACGAGTTACCTCGTCGCATAATTTCATTTTATCACATATAGAACTAAGTCCAAAATCAAGTTCATTCATCTATCTCGATGCTAATCACTTGCAACGACTGCATAATGACACTGGCAGGAACAACGTCTTAAATATTTGAGAATGTCTACCGCTTTAACGAATCCTTGTAAGATTTCTCTGATTGTGTGTCTCTCTTTTGAAGTACCTGTCAATACCCTGTACCAAGGTATGTGCCATTCACTCTGTATCTTTATAACAACGTACATGGAGTATGTTTTGTCTCAGTCAAGATAAGCACAGGAATCTACATGGAATGTTCTTCAACCATATGCAATTTTTCTCAGCATAAATAAAGTGACACACAACCTATAATAATGTGACACACACACTGTTTATCAGCAAAACACTCGACAGTTCTTCCTATTTATCGATTCTTGTCTAATGCTCCAACTGCTCATGCCCGCGACAAGGTATCTTCTAAAACACTGGACCACCAACAAGAAACGGCAGAGAACTGTTTTCTTTTGGTATAAAATCATTTCTCCGTATCAGTGCCTGTCGAGAAAGTTCTGAGCAGCTTTGCACTATGTTCCTGTGCCTTGGCCCTTAAAGCGTTGATGCTGTCCGTACGGGGGTCGGGATTCAAACCTAGCTCCACGATCTCGACCCGTGGGTCAGGGCTGTGCCTCGCCTTTATAGTGTCTGTAGAATCTGGAGTCTCTTCGTTGACATCCCTCTCTTCTGAATGAAAGCTCCTTGCAGCGTCATTGCATTTCCGATGCATACCTGGAAGATGTCATGTTGTTACTGGTTGTCTTATTGGAACGTGAAAAATGACAGCTTTGTTTACTGCATGGATCAATACTAAAACAGTTTTGTAAATAGCCATCAGAAAGGAATCATTAGATCCGAGGCAAAACAGGTTTCCTGTAAGAACTGAGTAGTGAGGCTTGTGACATCGCTGATTGAGTGTCATCCCAAGGGCGTGGATGTCATGCCATGTCATCTCATGGTTGCTATGTCCTAGACGTATAACTTACAGACCTCCATGATAGAGCAGGAATAATGCTGAATGAGGCGTAAACAACATTCACTCACTCATTGTATATGCACAAAACATGTAGTACAGTACCTATTTTATTATCTTTGTCAAGCATTCATTCTGTATGAAAAAGACATTTTCCACGGTTACTCACTTATAAGCCAAGGAGCACACGTGTCCAGTGTTCCGTCATCAGCAGCTTTTGCAATAGTTTCCGGAAGAGGAAGTGAGTGTCTGACCATGGCTCCGTACAGCCCATACTCCGCCATTATACTGCTTCGTCCCCACGTCTTCTCCGCTTTGCGCCATTTTGCACGACGGTTTTGAAACCAGACCTAAAACAAAAGTAATTAATAAAAATTAAAAAATACACAAACATGATTGTCCAAATAAATTAGTGCAATAACTTATTCAGCCAGTATTTTCACTCTTGTCCATTTACTACTATTCTAAACTATCAAAGACTGTGAATGTGTGAGCACGGCTTAATCCACTTTCAGCAATATTCTAGAAATGTTATGTCAGCAAAACAAAAGACAAAACAGGCTGTCTTAAATCGACCCAAGGTAAGTGACGTAATCTCCCAGGCGATTTTGACAATTTTTATAATGGTCTGGACCTTATTGTAAGTAAAACTGAGACATTCCAGTTAGTGTCTTATCTAAAACTGAGACATTCCAGCTAGCGTCTTGTGTGTAAACTGAGATATTGTAGCTAGTGCCTTGTGTAAAACTGAGACATTCCAGCTAGTGTCCTGTGTAAAACTGAGACATTGTAGGTAGTGTTTTGTGTAAAACTGAGACACTCCAGCTAGTGTCTTGTGTAAAACTGAGACATTGTAGGTAGTGTTTTGTGTAAAATTGAGACATTCCAGCTAGTGTCTTGTGTAAAACTGAGACATTGTAGCTAGTGTCTTCTGTAAAACTGAGACACTCCAACTAGTGTCTTGTGTAAAACTGAGACATTGTAGCTAGTGTCTTGTGTAAAACTGAGACATTCCAGCTAGTGTCTTGTGTAAAACTGAGACATTGTAAGTAGTGTTTTGGATAAAACTAAGATATTCCAGCTAGTGTCTTCTGTAAAACTGAGACATTGTAGCTAGTGTCTTGTGTAAAACTGAGATATTCCAGCTAGTGTCTTGTGTAAAACTGAGACATTGTAGCTAGTGTTTTGTGTAAAACTGAGGCATTCCAGCTAGTGTCTTGTGTAAAACTGAGACATTCCAGCTAGTGTCTTCTGTAAAACGGAGACATTGTAGCTAGTGTCTTGTGTAAAACTGAGACATTCCAGCTAGTGTGTTGTGTAAACATGAGACATTGTAAGTAGTGTTTTGTATAAAACTGAGATATTCAAGCTAGTGTCTTGTGTGAAACTGAGACATTGTAGCTAGTGTCTTGTGTAAAACTGAGACATTCCAGCTAGTGTCTTCTGTAAAACTGAGACATTGTAGCTAGTGTTTTGTGTAAAACTGAGGCATTCCAGCTAATGTCTTCTGTAAAACTGAGACATTGTAGCTAGTGTTTTGTGTAAAACTGAGATATTCCAGCTAGTGTTTTGTGTAAAACTGAGATATTCCAGCTAGTGTCTTGTGTAAAACTGAGACATTGTAGCTAGTGTCTTGTGTAAAACTGAGATATTCCAGCTAGTGTCTTGTGTAAAACTGAGACATTGTAGCTAGTGTCTTCTGTAAAACTGAGACATTGTAGCTAGTGTTTTGTGTAAAACTGAGGCATTCCAGCTAGTGTCTTCTGTAAAACTGAGATATTGTAGCTAGTGTCTTGTGTAAAACTGAGACATTCCAGCTAGTGTCTTCTGTAAAACTGAGACATTGTAGGTAGTGTTTTGTGTAAAACTGAGGCATTCCAGCTAGTGTCTTGTGTAAAACTGAGATATTGTAGCTAGTGTCTTGTGTAAAACTGAGACACTCCAGCTAATGTCTTCTGTAAAACTGAGGCATTGTAGCTAGTGTCTTGTGTAAAACTGAGACATTCCAGCTAGTGTCTTCTGTAAAACTGAGACATTGTAGCTAGTGTCTTGTGTAAAACTGAGACATACTGAGATATTCCAGCTAGTGTCTTGTGTAAAACTGAGACATTGTAGCTAGTGTCTTGTGTAAAACTGAGACATTCCAGCTAGTGTCTTCTGTAAAACTGAGACATTGTAGCTAGTTTTTTGTGTAAAACTGAGGCATTCCAGCTAATGTCTTCTGTAAAACTGAGACATTGTAGCTAGTGTTTTCTGTAAAACTGAGACATTGTAGCTAGTGTTTTGTGTAAAACTGAGATATTCCAGCTAGTGTCTTGTGTAAAACTGAGATATTCCAGCTAGTGTCTTGTGTAAAACTGAGACATTGTAGCTAGTGTCTTGTGTAAAACTGAGATATTCCAGCTAGTGTCTTGTGTAAAACTGAGACATTGTAGCTAGTGTCTTCTGTAAAACTGAGACATTGTAGCTAGTGTTTTGTGTAAAACTGAGGCATTCCAGCTAGTGTCTTCTGTAAAACTGAGACATTGTAGGTAGTGTTTTGTGTAAAACTGAGGCATTCCAGCTAGTGTCTTGTGTAAAACTGAGATATTGTAGCTAGTGTCTTGTGTAAAACTGAGACACTCCAGCTAATGTCTTCTGTAAAACTGAGACATTGTAGCTAGTGTCTGGTGTAAAACTGAGACAATCCAGCTAGTGTCTTCTGTAAAACTGAGACATTGTAGCTAGTGTTTTGTGTAAAACTGAGACATTCCAGTTAGTGTATTCTGTAAACCTGAGACATTGTAGCTAGTGTCTGGTGTAAAACTGAGACAATCCAGCTAGTGTCTTCTGTAAAACTGAGACATTGTAGCTAGTGTTTTGTGTAAAACTGAGACATTCCAGTTAGTGTATTCTGTAAACCTGAGACATTGTAGCTAGTGTATCGTGTAAGACTGAGACATTCCAGCTAGTGCCTTGTGTAAAACTGAGACATTGTAGCTAGTGTATCGTGTAAAACTGAGACATTGTAGCTAGTGTCTTCTGTAAAACTGAGACATTGTAGCTAGTGTATCGTGTAAAACAGACATTCCAGCTAGTGTCTTGTGTAAAACTGAGACATTCCAGCTAGTGTCTTGTGTAAAACTGAGACATTGTAGCTAGTGTCTTGTGTAAAACTGAGACATTGTAGCTAGTGTCTTGTGTAAAACTGAGACATTCCAGATAGTGTCTTGTGTAAAACTGAGACATTGTAGCTAGTGTATCGTGTAAAACAGAGACATTGCAGCTAGTGTGTTCGTACAGTGGTGTCCTACTCTACCGGCAGCATCCGCGGCCTGTAAACACATGTACGACTTGAGCAGACAATCCAGCGATCAGTATCATGAGCAATGATCCACGTCGTGAACGTAGACGACGCGCTGTCAACCACGTCACCAAGCCTCAACAACCGATAGGGTAACTAACTGCCAGTGAATTAACAGTCTGGAAAGGTCATAGTATGGGGGAGCACGACGAATCATGCTGACAGCTAACGATTGGTTCATTCCTAAAGACATTGGATATACGTTAAACATCCAACTTTCCATGTTGTAAGGACATGAACATGATGATTCCTGCCAGGATTGCCCTACACTGAACCTCCTTCCACGTCTCCGTAATGGGTAGTATTGTCTATAGAACCTAATAGACGATGTATAACTATGTATTCACACCAAAAACAGAAACTATAAGCTTCGTTTATTTGCACAAGGAACACGAACCCGTACGAATGGATTTAAAGAGAATTGTCAAATGTAAGTATGTTTTGTCATATAGTACTGGAATACTGATGTAGTATGCTTTGTAACCATTCGACATGGATCGAGTTTAAGTATGTTAATTCCAGTTCACAAAATCTGGATTAAAAATTAAGATCAATGACAACATACTCCTAATAACTGGTAACTGACAATGACGACACAGAACTAGAATATACCGCTATTACTAATATATAGGATAATTGCCATGGAAATCAGATAACGAAACAAACAGGAGAAAAACACGTCGTGCAACTGACACATGTACATTTCAGTGATGGCTGTAATTACCATTATTTACCAGATGTCTATTTCACTGATGATTTATATGGCTGTCTCTTAGCAGGTAACTCTACCACTACACGGGCCGGACAGATGGGGAGAGGAGGAAGAGATCAGTTTCGCGGACTAGTTTATAATGTAAGAGTGTCTCGCCCAACTTCATTAGCAGGTAATCGAAGGACTCACGATACACGGCTGACATATGACATCGGTATCCATCAGTCCATTTGAAACCTATAGGATGTTGAACAGCTACACTCGGAGATGACCAGTCCTTGTGGAAGAGACCGAGTTAAGCGATTTTGTTAATGGACTTCTGATTTGATATTTGTTTTAAAAAGAGATAGCCTTTCTATATTAATGTTTTAAAACTTTCAGTGAACATAGAGTTCATAATGTATTTACTTGTAAATAGAAAATATATAATTGTATTATGCTTTTAATTAGTCCTTGCAAGGTGGGTCGTGTTGGGCTTCTTGAGATGTTCTAGTTTCTATGACTCTCTTCACCAACAGTCAGTGGGTACCCGACAGGATGAGATGGGGTGATGTGTTAATGATGGCGATATGTTAACCTTCTGGAGTCTCACAGACAGCATTTTCAGCTCCCTGGAGAATGCCAATCGAGTGCACATTGATCCATTGACAGGGATAAGGATTCTGGCAATGTCTTCAGAAAGATGTCCATTAAGTAAACGCGCCATACAGTTGAACCATGACTGTTGTTCTTGTTGTAGATATAGTGTTTTGTTCTATATTAAAGTTTACACGGGGGAATCATGTACAAGGGAATCGGTAAACCAGCTGTGAATCCAACATTCAATTTAATCAGTATATGTTTCGAAAGAGGTATATATAGTCTGATATAAAAATGTTTCATCATACGAATACAATCACTTACGAATACAATCTTCATACGAATACTATACAATGCAGGAGGAACACTTTATTCAAATTAACTCATGAAACTAATCTGAACTAGTTTGGACAGGAATCGTCTCCCATTTCCCTATCTGTGATACTGGTAAGTTGACATTACCACATTCATAATCTTCTTTCTATCAATTTCAAATCTTTTCATATATAACAGCCTATGGGGTGTAGTGGTTAGAACGAAAGGTCCCCGGTCGCGGTAGGCCAACATACATTTATTGGTGATACTTATTACCCTGCCTGGCGCTCGGCATTAAGTGCATGACTGGTGGGAATGTATTGTACCTGAGTGGGGTATACACTGACGAATTGTTCACACAGGGCTGTCACTGTAACATCGGTATACGTCCTGACTAGTACCAGCAGACACAGACACAGACACACACACACACAGACACAGACACACACACACGTGCAGGAGTGAAATACAGTCTTGAAAGCGACTGGACCGGGTATTCATACAATGACCTCTCCGACTACGCACTCGGAAACGTCATACTTGACATCCAATTCACCCGAAACAATAGGGGATGGGTGTGATAGCTCATACAACTGTACAGACAAACATTTTGAAGGACTTTGCGCCCAGTGGCCAGGAGAATAGAAGAAACCGAGCTCACAAATTGGGCATGTAATCCGCCCTTTCGAAACATATGATAAAAAATTCTGACTCCATATTTCCTATCCAACCAAGATTCCCCATGCCAACATCAATCAGTAGGAAGAGAGGGAACTTCAAAAAACTCTTAAAAACTCAAAGAAACATCTACTTATATTAATATAGCTAATACTGGTGAAGTACTGCTGGTCGAGAGGGTAAAGCGGCAGTATTGCTCACTGCAGTAGTATAATGGGGATTTGTTCATCGGGCTGATAAAAAGTCAGTAAAACCGACTGCGTTTATACAACTGCAGTTTTGTCAAAAATTTACATACCTGCTGTCTTGCCGGTAGCACTAGTACCACTAAAGCATTGCCCATCAAGGTATTAAAACTGTAGTACTGCGAACCGTGCTACCTGTACTATTGCTGAGCGGGATAATATAGCTGTAGTATTACTGAGCGGGCTAATACAGCTGTAGTATTGCTGAGCGGGCTAATATAGCTGTAGTATTGCTGAGCGGGCTAATATAGTTGTAGTATTGCCGAGCGGGCTAATATAGGTGTAATATTGCTGAGCGGGCAAATATAGCTGTAGTATTGCTGAGCGGGCGAATATAGGTGTAGTATTGCCGAGCGGCCTAATATAGCTGTAGTACTGCGAACCGTGCTAATATAGCTGTAGTATTGCTGAGCGGGCGAATATAACTGTAGTATTGTCGAGCGGGCTAATATAGCTATAGTTATGCTGAGCGGGCTAATATAGCTGTAGTATTGCGAACCGTGCTAATATAGCTTTAGTATTGCCGAGCGGGATAATATAACTATAGTATTGCTGAGCGGGATAATATATCTGTAGTTTTGCTGAGCGGCCTAATATAGCTGTAGTATTGCGAACCGTGCTAATATAGCTGTAGTATTGCCAAGCGGGCGAATACAACTGTAGTATTGTCGAGCGGGCTAATATAGCTATAGTTTTGCTGAGCGGGCTAATATAGCTGTAGTATTGCGAACCGTGCTAATACAGCTGTAGTATTGTCGAGCGGGCTAATATAGCTGTAGTATTGCCGAGCGGGCTAATATAGCTGTAATATTGCTGAGCGGGCTAATATAGCTGTACTATTGCTGAGCGGGCCAATATAGCTCTAGTATTGCTGAGCGGGCTAATACAGCTGTAGTATTGCTGAGAGGGCTAATATAGCCGTAGTATTGCCGAGCGGGCTAACACAGCTGTCGTATTGCCGAGCAGGCTAATACAGCTGTAGTATTGCCGAGCGGGCTAATATAGTTGTAGTATAGCCGAGCGGGCTAATACAGCTGTAGTTTTGCTGAGCAGGCTAATATGGCTGTAGTATTGCTGAGCGGGCTAATATAGCTGTAGCATTGCCGAGCGGGCTAATATAGCTGTAGCATTGCCGAGCGGGCTAATATAGCTGTAGTATTGCCGAGCGGGCTAATATAGCAGTAGCATTACCGAGCGGGCTAATATAGCTGTAGTATTGCTGAGCAGGCTAATATAGCTGTAGCAATGGACGTGTTTCCTGGTCCTTGAGTTGGGGTAATTTCAACAGATACGTAGGAGTCTATTTTGCCGATGAATTAAGACACTGAATAATTAACCAGAGATCACCGTTGTTACATGTCATGTAATTCATGAACGTCAACAAGTGAAATTGGAGAGACGTTGTTCGGTCGTAATACTTCCTTACTATTACTTTATCCAATCAAGTTCCTCTTTTTGATATACACAACAGCCTTAACAGATTCTAAGGTGGCTCAATGACGTCATCACGCTCGTGCCTGTCGCTCCCATATTGGCAGGTGATGGTGGTGAGCACGAGATTCAGATGACATTTGAATAACAAATCTATTAATTGAAATCACATTAGCGTGCGTAAAATCGCGCGAGAATACAGCTAATCTCGTTCCCAAATTGAAATTTGTAAACACGTTTCTCACTGTGGTCTGATTCGGAATCCGTCCGCCCGTGCTCACCGTGCGTTCCGTCTCCAGAGACTACTTCGCGAATCAATGAAGTATAATTGACAAAACGAATATTTCTTTGGAAGCGTTTGATCTGAAATTAATCAATCTCACACAATAGTCACTCTGAGTGATTAACTCATCTAATATTGAGGCCTAAATCGCTCACGTGCCGGTCTAAGCGCCTGAAATATGTTTCCGCAATTGCTTTATTTGCGTCGTTGGCTTAATCGTGCCTCAGAGACTGCCATGGGGCCCGTTCTCGCTCAATCATTTAGTAAATGTGAGAAAAATCTTGCTATCATTTTCCCGTGTTTGAATAAGTAATGCGAACTTCCATCTGTAAAATTACCCTTGTCCCTCTCAGGGCCGATGAATGTTTTAAACTTGATTAAGAGATGTCGTTATCTCATTTAAAAACGACCCTGTTAAAGGGGGGACTTTCAAAGGTATGGCAAATACAAGTTGCTATTAGAGTGATTAGGAAAGAACGATAGTTATGGCTAATACCTGGCCTCCGGTTGATGTAACCTCCCATACTCCATGTACGGGCTTTTGGGGATACGGAGTACAGGGGGAGATTGGAACAAAACAGGCGTTGGTGGGTGGGGACACAAACAGGCGTTGGAGGGTTAGGACAGACGGGCGTTGGTGGGTTGGGACGAGAAAGGCTTTGGTGGGTCGGGACACAACAGGCGTTGGTGGGTGGGGACACAACAGGCGTTGGCGGGTGGGGACACAAAAAGCGTTGGCGGGTGGGGACAAAACAGGCGTTGGTGGGTTAGGACAGACGTGCATTGGTGGGTGGGGACAAAACAGGCGTTGGTGGGTGGGAAATAAACAGGCGTTGGAGGGTTAGGACAGACTCAGAAAGAGCTCTAAGAAATATAAGAGGCGAACACGAAACCGGTGCAATCAACGAAACATTAATTCCACATCCTAAATACTTGTACGATGTGTACCGTAAGTACAGTCTAAAGACCGATTGTGTCTTTCAAAAGCAACCGGGTACAGATTATCTAGCCTACTGAGCACAAATAAGTGAACCTTCCAAATCACCAGTTACACGTGTACTTCGTGTTTCATAAGAGGCGATGGGGTAGCCTAGTGGTTTAAGCCTTGGTTCGTCACGCTGAAGACCCGGGTTCGATTACCCACATGGGTAAAATGGGTGAAGCCCATTTCTGGCGTCCCCCGCCGTGATATTGCTGAATATTGCTAAAAGCGGCGTAAAAGCCACACTCACTCACTCACGTTGCAAAAAGATGCGACTATGTTCATCGGGGTAATCCTCCAAGACATCTCACGTCGATCGATGCTCATGATATCGGTTACAGGATTGTCTAGCACACACTCTATTACTTACCGACCGTCGCCATATAGACGCAATACGGCTTATAGCAATGTTAAACAAAAGGCAAAGAAACTAAACGTGTGTAATCTTGTCCCGCAAAGTATGTATTTTCCCTATCGGAGCAAACTGACACCCACGTAAACAATAAAAACTGAAACTCACTGATATGGTGTAAAATCCTAGCTTGTAAATCACTAACAAGCAAAACCAAACTGGATATATAGATATTTTCATGTGTGACAAAGCTCTTCTTTCAGCAGCATTCTTTCACTTATTGAGAGTGTAAGGATCATACATATATAAATATATTTAAATATATATATATATGAATTAAGAGGTGAAGTTCAGCAATGTATTTATACATCACAATGATTGAACCGAGAATATCCGAAGTTACCTGTATCCGATCTTCCGGGAGATCTGTCTTCATGGCAATGACTTCTCGTGCGTACACGTCCGGATAATGAGCATCTTTAAATGCCTTCTCTAATTCATCAAGCTGCTGACTTGTGAAGATGGTTCTAGACGTGTAATAAAAAGTGTTATGTGAAAGTTGGGCATAGTTTACACAGTGGATGCTTATTTAGGCTATCACAATTCAAGCTTTTAAAAACATACATTATGAAAAAATTCATTTTCTCAAACATATGTGCAATGATCTCCAGGCATCATGAATATTTGTCCAGTAAGTCATCTGATCATAATATGTAATGTCTGATTATAATACTATTTAAAGTCCTGTTTGAAGCTAGGATTGAGCATGTAACCCCCATACTGGTTAGGCTTATACACTATGAATTAATATCATTCTAGTCCTGAAAAATACGTGTATTTAATTACGACTGTTAGAAAAAAGTACGTATTGCACATTCATCAATGATATAATTATTCATTATTTACTGAGTCTTGACGTCTATCCTTCTGAATAATATATTTGTTTGCGACAAAACGCTTTCTAATATAATAAGAACTATTTGCCAAAAACTGAATTTTAATATGATTCATAAGCCTGTGTTTATGATAACTGGCGTATCCAGAGAAACCGTCATAAACACACGAAAAGGCGAGCCATTTGTTCACCTCAAAAACATGTGAAAAAATGGGGAATTTAATCAGATATAGTTTTCGTTAATGATGTGTCAAATGTGGAAATGTCCTCCACCTCTTCCATAACACGTCTGAAAGCTTTACTGAGGTCTTTAATGTTGCAAGGAAAATCTATCATAACTTCATTACTGATGGCAGTATGTGAGGATGTGAGGTATCTGTATGCTGGCTGGCCTGCCTGAAGGGAAGTGAACGGATGAACGCGGTTGTATCTTGGAATGGACAGATCACAGTGGCAATTACCTGTGCCGTCGCTTTTTCTTCTTCCTGTTGGCAAGAAGAGAGGAATTGTCCAGTTTATCAACAGTGCTGTCCACTTCACAGTCGGAGGTTTCTGCAAGAAATCTTCTACGCATAAGAAAATTACATTATAAGCTCATTAAATCATTTTTGCTGTTCACACAACCTAACAATTAAGGATAAATTTGTTTCAAATAAGATCTTATTATAACCTGCAAAATATGATTTAAAAACACAATGCATTAATGAGATGACAAAAAAAACACAGATAGCTTTAGAAGACTGATAATCGTATTTGCATTCTTATCTAGACAATTTTAAAATTCACCTTTGCCTCGGTAGCTGCTGTCCTGGTAGTGCAGTGGTATTTATTATATCATATTCACATATTTGCTCGTGTATCGACCTGTAGATTCGTCAATACATGTTTCTGACCAATATATCGCTGTTATTGTTCACAACGGTTACACGAGCAATTAACAGATATCAAACGTTTGAGATTTATCAAAAATAATATTTTCATTTCCACACCAAAACCTAAACATAATATTCAAGATTCATTATCCTCTGGCGCTGATGCTGTATATTTACATCACATTCGTTTCCCTTAAATTCATTCACCACTATTGAATATTAATCGAACATATTTTTTCCAAAGGACTATATTTTCAGAGCAAAATGATCTACACGTTCACGTCGACAACACGACAAAAAGAGGTAGCGATTTTTAAATAATCTGTCTAAATAAATAAAATACTTTTCCTCATTTTTTACAGAATTCAACATATTATCAGTTTATTTAGCTTTACTAGCTTTGCATGCATGCCCCACAGCACCAATACATGAACAAATCATCTAGTCCATCTGAATAAAAGATAACAAAAACGGTATCAAATTTCCTTCTTCAGGTAAAACAATAGTGATGGCAGGAAGAAGAGTGGGAACATTTCTACTGCTGCTGCCGCAGGTTCTTCCTCCATTTCGTTGCTATAGCAACGGAGACATAAACAAAGACAAAACGCTCATTTCCAAACGTTCTGGTGCCATGGGGAAATACGTGTCTACAGGCTGACTTGATGCTTTCATCACTGTGATATATAATGTGGCATTTGGAGAGATATTCATTCCATTATAATTGTGTGATTAAATATACAATTAATTTAGATCATATTATCTTCAATGTCAATGTTTGAGAAACGACCTCCACACCACTATATCAGACAAATAGACAAAGAAACAAATGCACATCGGGTTAAGATGAGAGGAAGAGAGCACTACTATCAGAAGTATGGTTAATGTTTTCCTGTTAATCGTGCAATACTTATTATCAACATGTTCTGGAGCCACAGCGATCGGTTGTTCTGACTTAGGAACTTACATATAATTTTTTCTGACATTCTGATAAAACCAGATCTTCATGATACATGTTTGTGAAGAAACCATGGTCATATATAACTTTCATTCTCGAGTAATATTCATAATTTTGATTAAATTCTATTACGCTGTGGACATAACGATACACTTTTAAAATGCCTTGTTCTAAGTATAAAACGATTAACTGTATATCTTTTAAATTAAAATTCACAGATACATGAGCAAATTTACATAAGCATTAATTTTGTTTGATTGTTTTGAACACATTATGTTACATTTGACAGATTTAACCACATCAGCCATTACTGAGGACTTTCACCTACTCATACTTTCAGCTGCATCAAAAAATAATAATAAACAATATGTTTTATTCAATCACTAAAAACAAATCAGCCCGCTCTTTGAATTAATAATCTCGGAAATGTATCAATACAATATATTCCATGTCTAATTCGGCTCTGAGATCCAACAACGGCTCTCATCGTTAACCCGTATGGCTAAAAGTATTACAAGATTAAGGGTTAAAGAGATAATCGTAGCTCACCTGTCTTATCGCTTCGACTCGGCGCCAATTTATCCCGCTCATTGTCGTCTGTTGATGATAAATGGGGTTTCCAAGATGGAGCAGACGACACATCTTTGAAGCTCGTGTTAAAAGTCGAAGGTAAAAATGGCGACAGGTAGAGTGACACCGGCGATGGAAGATGTCCTTGGAGAGAATTGTCACGTAAATCAAAATCCTTTCCGTGAAGGAACTGTTTAAAAGAAAAATTACTACCGCACATTCCAAATCCAGGCTTAAAAACCGGAGCTGGGAAACCGGACGCAAAAGACCGGGTCCCGTTTAGGGTAAGAAACGGTGAAGGTACAAAATTCATGTCCAGCTCTTGTCAAAACGCCCTCTTCATTCACAGAATGATCGTGGAGAGGCTACAGCCTTTAGATAGTGTCTCTCGCGATAGATTTGAGCGACGGTTCAACTAATGGAATGGTTGTCGCGGGATAATTGTCCCCGCCTCGGTTTCCCGGTCTAAGCATTGTTCCACTAATCAATTCCAACCCCCGATTCTACGATGTGCTCGCGAAAACTGTCACTCATTCAGTTTCCAATAGCCCGTCTGCCATCTGCAATTAGCCATTATAATCACAGCGCTATAATGTGCCTTATTGGGCATGGAGGCTTATATAAATTTTTGTTCGCGAGCTTGATTTAATTTGCGTTAGGCTATGATATTGAAATGCTTTACAAGGGCTCACAATGCTATGAGAACCACAGATTCCATTCATGCCTAAATTGCTAATAATTATTTTTCGCCCGTGTCTTTTTTCTACATATTGGCTCTAATTAAGTTATGCATATTGCCCGTTCGCTCGCCAGGCGCTTTGTTATGACCCGTGCATTATCTTACAAATTATATCTTGTATTGGATTAATGAAAATTATTTTTCTGTTCTAGTGGAGGTGAGGGAAATGTGAAAAAGGCGGAAATTCATCGAGAGGAAAATATTAGTTGGATCCAATAAATCCTTGTTAACATGAAGGTTATTGTAGCAAGAGTAAGACTAATATATAGCGTGATCGGAGTTAACACGAGAGCAGCCACTCGCGCGGATTAACACATTATCTTGACAGCCTTCCGATATATCTTTAGAAGCAATATGCTATGAAACATATCAACAATTTGTAAAAGATATCTGAAACTCTACGTTAAGCTGATGAAAATATGTTACCAAACAAAATGTCATTCGAAAATAGTAATTAATGAAATATATCAGTAATTACTAATAATTATACCAATGACAACACTACCACCAGACTACTACTGCTGATGCTACTACTATTGTTAAATATTAACTCACTCACTCACTGATCCTGGTGCTGCTAGTACTACTACTACTACCTCTACTACTACTACTACTACTACTACTACTACTAGTACTACTACTACTACTACTACTACTATACTACTACTACTATCTTTATCTTTACAATGAGACTTATAGTAAGACGAATAATAATATCGAAAATGTAATAAGTAACTAGAAATAAAGCTCCTTCGACTATTTACTAGCACTAAGTATATTCATGATATCATCTACTGTGTGAGGACGGTAGGCTATTCTATATCATGTCTTGACCAGGGCATCTAAAATATAATATTTTAATTTCAGAAGGCATATAATGAAAAAGCATTTACAGGGAACGTAATCCAAGATGTTCACAATGAACAGTGTAACTGTATACCCTTGATAGTCGTATCATCTGGTAAGGGTTTATTGTGTATCGAAATAAAGGCCAGCAAGATAATATGTTCGACTATAAGTATCGGGTCACGACAACAGGACACGTCCTTCTTGTCAGTGGTAGATGAAAGTCTGAGATATCTTCTCGTTCATATATATATTCATCACGCATTTTGAAAGTTACTGTATATAACTGAACGATAAGACCGTACTCAGCGTTACCATGGCAATCACATCCTCTGTGAGTTGTGTTTGTGTACTGACAAAATGTGATGTCTTGCGTCTGATAGTTCACGCTATTAGGCAAATAGAAGCGACAAAACCCTTTCCACATTCATAAGAAATATCTGCCAAAACACTGTCGATTGTACAGTTGTGGCTATATCATGAGTATATATTTGTTTCAGCAGTATTACAGCTGTGCGATGTTGTTTGTAAACAAATCGAGTCACCAAATTTCTTTTCGCTTCCTTATGAAATAATATAAAATAAATCGATTTTGAAATTAAGACTATATTACGAACGCGTTTCTATGAATCATGGTCATATAGTGATGAGACCTGGTTGTAGCAAAACACTGTAATATACAAGCAGGGCATACATATTAGATCCTGTTCTATTCCGTCAACAGATTTGTAGTAAAGGAAAGACAAAGTTTTGTGTCAGGGGTGCACCGGATTACCATCAAAAAGTTACTTCAGATGTGTAATCCATAGGAAAACGAGAAGATAAATTGGGGGTTTGGAATATGTTCGGGTTGGATACTAACAGAGAGAGAGATTGAGTGAGTGAGTTTTGTTTTACGCCGCTTTTAGCAAATTGCTATTCCAGCAATATCACGGCCGGGGACACCAGAAATGGGCTTCACACTTTGTACCCATGTGGGGAATCGAACCCGGGTCTTCGGCGTGAAGAGCGAACACCTTAACCACCAGGCTACCCCACCGCCCCACTAACAGCGAGATGAAAACAAACTGTTCTAAATAAGACTGGATACTTACAGAGGTGCAGATTCTTCAAACTAAGGGATCTGGTTGTCTACTAACAGAGATATGCCACACCTCGATTCTTTAAGACAAGAGGTTCAGGTAAGAAACAAACATAGGTGAGCTGAACGCAATTTTGAACACAAAGGGTCGTGTTGGAAACAAACATAATGATGACATACGGGATTCTTAAGAAAAAGGGTCGTGGTGGAAACAAACAATGATGACATACGGGATTCTTAAGAAAAAGGGTCGTGTTGGAAACAAACAATGAAGACATACGGGATTCTTAAGAAAAAGGGTCGTGTTGGAAACAAGCATAATGATGGCATACAGGATTATTAACACAAAGGGTCGTGTTGGAAACAAACATAATGATGGTAAACAGGATTCTTAAGACAAAGGTTCTTTTTGGAAAAAAATCATAGGGATGCTGAACATGATTCTGAAGACAAAGGGTTCAGGTGGGAAACAAAAAGGGATGCTATACATCATATAAGGGTTCAAGTTGGAAACAAACATATATCGATACCATACACGACTCATAAGACAAAGGATTCTCGTTGTAAACAAACATAATGATGGTATAAACAATTCTTAAGACAAAGGAATCAGACTGGAAACAAACATAGGGATGCTATGTACGATTCTCTGGTCTACGAGTGCATGTTGGATACTAACGGACATATATTGTACGGGATTAGCGTCGTATTTTAATGTTTCCATCACACGTTGAGATATTGTGGTACAGCCTAACTCGGTAATGCTTTGACAGGACCATCGGACCATTTGTCCCGTTTGAATTCAAACATGCAAACATTATACTGAACACCTCAAACTAACGGTTTCAGAAACAAACAGGAGAAACAAACAAGACGGATCAAGCAGGGTGAGATATGTTGTTGTGGAGACACAATTAGAGCTCTCTCCACCTCGAACACAACAAGGTGTAAGTACAATAAAGACAGACGAGGGTTTCTGCTGCGAGACAAAAGGATAACCATTGCTTATATTTAACCTGTTCAGAATGCTACACGTTAGAGTCACGTGTATGACCTATCTTGACTGTGTAAATATAAAAATGTAAATCTCAGTTACAACGATATTTTATGAACACCGTGTTTATAAAAATCGAACTGAGAGAAAGTGCAATTGATACATTCTGATAGTGGCCACTGATCACTCGTGGAACCGTCTTCTCCATTTTGGGGTAAGCAAGACCGATATTAATGTGTTTAGCATCACGTATGTATGTATCAACAAAATCTAACAGCTCCAAAGTAATGTGATGTTAAGGAAGTGAAAGATTCGCCCGTCTAGAAACAACAACTGACACAGTGATAAGACTTAGGAATACGTCATGGTATTGTTTCCCGATGAAACGTCATTAATATACGTAACACACGTAAGTGTAACATGAAACTCATTTCCCCAGGTTAGCAAATGCATGGGTTAACTACTCGAGGGTAGGTAGCTATAGGTTTCGCTGTGCAAGGAGCTTTCACGATATAACGAAGTCCTGCTGTTTACAGGAATCTCTCGTTTGTTACATAAATATAAATATTAGCGTCAAAATCCAAAACTTAACGCAAGAAAATAACCAGTAAACTACCAAAACCTATTTCATCTTGATGTCCAAGATATTTTTATGGATTAAACTTCTTTTTAATTTCTCTCACAACGTTTCGAGACCATTCCAGGTCCCTTCATCAGGTGAACTCATTAAACTTCTTTTTAATTTCTCTCACGACGTTTCGAGACCATTTCGAGTTCACCTGATGAAGGGACCTGGAATGGTTTCGAAAGGTCGTGAGAGAAATTAAAAAGAAGTTTAATCCATAAAAATATCTTGGACATCAATGTACAACTTCTAAATGCCACTGACAGACACTATTTCATCTTGTTCTGAAGGCAAAATAACGGTGACGGATAGATCACTGAAAATCAGTGATAACACGAGGTCTTTCCGAAATAGTATGTCCAGTAGGAAAATCTTAATCAGAAATCGGGGGCGGTGGAGTAGCCTAGTGGTTAAAGCGTTCGCTTGTCACACCGAAGACTGGGGTTCGATTCCCAACATTGGTACAATGTGTGAAGCCCATTTCTGGTGTCCCCCCGCCGTGATATTGCTGGAATATTGCTAAAAAACATACTAACTCACTCACACACCAGAAATCCCATGGATGGAAAATTATAGTATAAGTCTGAGAAATATTTCACACTATAGGTTAGAATATGTCCACTTGAAAAACGGCAGACAAGTATTGACTCCGCCACAACTGTCCGTTATCTGTAACTATAAGGTAGGTAAACGTGTGAGATGTTGCTCCAGTTCAAATAACATGACGTATAGTGCAGTATTATGCCTTTAAGTCTAATATCTGGCCCTAGGTTCCAGGAACGTTGATTGTGTGACTTTGTGACGGTGCAGATGGTAGGGAAGGGTAGGCTCAGTATTTCATTAACACCTGGTGTCATCTAGTTGAGTGCGATCCATAAACATATGCTTATTATATAGTCAGAATCGTACAGCGGGCTCTGCTTTTAGCTGAGGATCCTTTCGATTAAATAGCGGGTTAACCGTCAACCCTCAATGTTTTAGTCTGAAACCATAGCACGGTGGCTACCCTACTGTATCCTACCTTGGGATATAGAATGAAAGACACAGAATGCATTTAAAATGTAACGAAACCTTGCAGTCTTAGTGAGATCGAAATTCAGTACATTCTTGTAAAGTTATATGCCCTGTTTAGTGAATAGTGGTTACTTCATCACACACTTTGTACATGGACTCGTGAATGCTTCTCTGTAACGGTTGT